TATGGGTATTGATCCTATGCCAATGGGTGGTCCTCCAATGCCAATGGGTCCTCCCCCTTCACTTGGATATCATGGTGGCCCAGAGCCTTGTGATGATCATCCCCCAATGGGCCCACCACCAATGGGACCTCCTCCTATGGGACCACCTCCTATGCCAATAGGTGGTCCTCCCCCCTCACTTTCACTTGGACACATTAATAATGGTCTGGAACCTTGTGATGATCCTCCAATAGGTGGTCCTCCCCCAATGGGTCTTAATCCTATGCCGATCGGCGGTCCTCCTATGCCAATGGGCCCTCCTCCAATGGGACCTCCTCCTATGGGACCTCCCCCTTCTCTCTCACATGGATACATGGATGGTCTGGAACCTTGCGAAGATCCTCCAATGGGACCTCCTCCTATGGGCGGACCTCCTCCTCCAATGGGACCACCTCCTCCAATGGGTGGACCACCTCCTCCAATGGGTGGACCTCCTCCTCCGATGGGCGGCTATCCTCCAATGGGTGGACCTCCAATGGGTCTTGACCCTATGCCAATAAGCGGACCTCCTATGCCAATGGGCGGACCACCTCCGATGGGTGGACCTCCTCCTCCAATGGGACCTCCTCCTATGGGCGGACCACCTCCAATGGGTGGACCTCCTCCTCCAATGGGACCTCCTCCGATGGGCGGACCTCCTCCAATGGGCGGCCCTCCTCCATTCATGCCAGATCTATCTAAAGGCGCCATGGTTCCAACTCCAATGTTTGACGACTACGGCGGTATGCCTCCATTTCCCACACCTATGGGCGGTCCTCCTCCTATGGGCGGTCTCCCACCCATGATGCCCAGCTACACTGATAACCAAATGCCCATCTTATCTGGATCACAGTCGTTGAGATGCTCTGCCTTTGTTGCTTTGTATGCAGCCATAGCTGTTAGTGCAGCTATATCCCTGCTTTAATTATTATCTTTATTATTGCACTCCTTGTTTTTGTTGCTGAATAGTGCTCTGCATCAATTTCCATCAATCTTAAATTAAATTATTTATTATGGTAATCCAGTATTTACAGTTATCAACAATAATGATGGGAGTGGAGATGAATGAGAAATTGTCAGTCACCGCCAGTGTATATCATGTATTTGAAAGGTACTCACATGAAACTCATTCAACCACTCGTGTGTTGTCAGTTTGTAAAATGTCATCTTATTGTAACGGTCAGTCATATTACAGTTATATTCACGTAAATGAGATGCTAAATGAGGATGCCAATATACAATAAACAGCCAATTCTTACCAAATCTACTAAATATTGTGTCCGAAACTTACTGGCCGTCTGATGATTGGCATGGAAACAGCCGCATTCCTGAAATGAGCAATTTTGGAATGCAAACGTATGTGATGTTAGGATACAGGAGTTTGTAAAACTTGAAAGCAATTGAATCCAATGTCTGGATTACAATACATGAACCTGACGATCGTATGTGTATGTCAAATAAAGACAATCTCAGTTCAAAACTATGGTTTGTGTGCATCATATGATGGACCTTGTCCATTAAAGCATTGTAAATGTCTATTCAAGTCAATATTCAATAAGCAGAGATTCAACGATTGCATATTCCAAAGCAAAAGAAGCAGTGATTGAGATACAAAAGTACTCTATTTTACAAGTATGACTGTAGTAGGTAGAATTGCATGGTTAGAATATATGGTTCACAATGAACAAAATGATATTAGCTTTAGAGTGCTTGTAGATGTACGCAATTGGCATTCTCGAGTTCATCTGTAAACAATAAACTACACATGTCCGCGCATAAGTGTTTTTAATCTATAATTCAACCTATGCAGATATGGGTGAAATGCAATCTAACAAATAAAAGTAAGCTTTTGTAATGCATATTGTATCGAGGCTATTTCCTACTTGGACATGAATAGAATACAAGGCATACATGCATATGACAGTCGGCAGCATATCTGATTTTATATAAAAATCTGACTACAGATACACAAAAGTTTGAACACAATGGATTGTTGTGGAAATACAATATGTAATTTTCAAGATACTGCTAAAATACATGGCATTTTAGACTTTTGTCACTTTCCATATGCGATTGTGTTTAGTGTTTGTAGCTGTACTACAACCATATTCACGTGTAATGCAACACTTGTATTATCTTGCAAATTGCCTCTATTTCTTGCACCAAGTACAACACCCATCATATGGGACTGACTGTTTATCATGTGCCTTGATACACTTATTCAGTGTTCCATTTCACACAAATACAGCTGTGAATTGCAATTTCACCTGTATTTCGTTCACAGCCAACGCGACACAATCAACACAAACTCAAAGTCTACCTCTAAACACAGCGGTTGTTGGTCTTCAACACAAGATAAAGCATGATTTATCGCTTGTACTACTCAACACAGACAAGTTGGTGTATAGGTGCCAAAAACGTCCATCACTCTTCAGTGTTCTGTGATCCCTTACTCATGCATATACTCACCCTTTCAGGGCTATATAAATCATACCAACCCCCCCTTCTTTATAGTTACAACACATCACACCGATAATTATTAGAGCGGCTTAATCTAATCTCAGCTTCAATAGATACGCTAGCTCGTCATACCTTTTTATATCAATTTATTCTATTGATTGTTTCAGTCTGATATGCAGATAGCTACAAAGTTTACTTTAGTAGTCTTGTCCGTGTCTTTTACTCCTGGGCTGATTTATGCTGGTCCATCCACCTATAAAACTGTTATAGGAGATCCCAACAAACAGATTCGAGGAACATATGGAGTTGGACCTCCGTTTCCAGATACTTCAAAAGGCCTTGTTCCTCCTGGCTCTTTTGCTCCTCCATCATATGGATACGTTCCTCCAAACGTGCCCCAAGTACCAGACACTTCAAAAGGCTTTGTTCCTCCTGGTCCTCCTGGCCTCCCTCCTCCTGGCCCTCCCGGTCTCCCTCCTCCTGGTCCTCCCGGTCTCCCTCCTGCTCCTCCGCAGTATGGGTTTGAACCTCCTCCACGTGTGCCTCGAGTACCAGACACTCCACTCGTGCCTCAAGTACCAGACTTTCCAGAAACTCCTCTAGACCCATATGACCCTCATCCACCACCTATGAATGACTATGACATTCCTCCTCCAGATGACTCGAATAACTTTATTCCTCCAATCCCTCCTCATTCGCATTCTACTCCATGTCTGGACGATCCACCACCTCCTACATCACCTCCTATGCCACCACCTAAACCACCTATGAATGATTATGACATTCCTCCTAAACCACCTCACCCTCCTATGAATGGTTATGACATTCCTCCTCCAGATGACTCGAATCATTTTATTCCTCCTCCAGTTCCTTATGAACCACATTCTACTCCATGCTTTGACGATCCACCACCTCCTACATCACCTCCTCTTCCTCCACCATCACCTCCTAAACCATATATTCCACCTCCTCCTCCTCCACCATCACCTCCTAAACCATATATTCCATCGTCACCTCCTCCTCCACCTCCTCCTCCATCATCACCACCTCCTGAGCCATATATTCCATCACCACCCCCTCCTCCATCATCACCTCCTCCTCCTCCCCCTCCCCCATCATCACCTCCTCCTGAGCCATATATTCCATCACCACCTCCAATGGGTCCTCCTCCGTCGTCACCTCCACCAATGGGCCCTCCTCCGTCGTCACCTCCACCAATGGGTCCTCCTCCGTCGTCACCTCCACCAATGGGTCCTCCTCCAGATGTCTCAAAGGGATTTATTCCACCACCACCACCAGGTGGTTTTGATGGTCCTCCTCCAGATGTCTCAAAGGGTTTTATCCCCCCAACACCACCGAATGGCCCACCCATTCCACCAGATTCTACCATTGAAATGCCACCACCAACTCCAACGGAAACACCCTTTTACCCTGATGGGCCAATCACCTCAAATGCTAAAAAGCTTGGGATACCTAGCGTCGGATCTTATTACTATGCTTACTACTTTTCTCTGACTTATTTATTTATCATTATTTCTGAGATTTGATTCTTCCATGGTTTATTTTGAAACCTCAATAATAGAATATAATAAATAACTATTGTGCCAATATACTTTTGAATTAGATGAGTGATTAGTACCAAGTTTGTCCACCTTATATGACTAGACAAACTGTTGAACTGCAGTGAATATACAAAACATGGATAAAATATCTCATGCTTTTGACTACATGACTGTAAATGTGCGTTGAGCCAGCAAATCTTACCGCTTTATTCACGCAAAATGGAACGCTTATATGCCATGACGACAATCTGGTTTGTTGACATGCTAATTTGCTGAGCGACTTGCTGTTTCTCTTGGAACAATACAAAACATCATTCATGTGGTATTGTTTTGATAATCCTTCAGCGTTTCATTTGTAGTTTACATTAGCCTAAAACAATCGTGCAGTTTTATCAAAAACTCTGGTTTTTAAAATGCTACAACAGCAACTTGCTTGACGTTATCTAAATATTTCCAAAACATGGCAAAATTAACTTGCTGAAATATATGTAACCATTTTCATTTACATTGTCATTGGTTGTGACAAGTCATTTGACACTTTGTGGATAGAGAAAGAGCATGGAATGCATCTGTTGTTAAAGTTACGAGCACAATATTGAAGCTGGTGTCAGGGCTTAAACAATGATGTTGCCATGATTCACAACGGATACTGCATTGCCTGTCGAATTCTGTTGAACAGCGTCAACCATAGAACAATCAAACTTTGATACCATCGATAGAGATGGTATCAAGAAACAACTCATCCTATTATTCGTCTAAAAGACTGTTTCAACAACCGCAAATCACCAGCGCTCAAATGCTGATGGGTGTCGTGTACGTCTGATTACAACATTCTGTTATGCACGAATCTGGACTGTATGTAAAGCCCTCTAGCTCCTATTTTTGATGGCAAGGCTTTACATACAACCCACAATATAAACCTGTACTCTCAAACCCTCAAGCTCCAAAAGACACTGTGATTTGGTGGTGGAAGTCACAGAAGCAACAAAATAAAACTTGGCCACATACAAGTGTGGTTGAATGAAATTTGCCTACTTTTCAAATACATGATATACGTTAATGGTGATGGTTGCTGGTAGCTTCTCTTTACGACTTCGTATCCATTTCTTTTGTTGTTAACCGTGGGCGGAGTAATCTACCTTTTGGTAGTCGCATCACAAGCAAGCCTAGTCTGTGTAGTACAAGGGCGGTAAAGCCATCAACAATGTCACAAAGTTTGTGTCAGAAAATTGATAGGGCATAATATATTTTCTCTAAACCTGGACACAATTTTGTTATACTTTAGACTAAAGCAGTGCAGAATAAATCAGAATGGTTGTAGCCAAGGGCGTGTACTAACAGCCCTTTAAGACCTTTTACATGGGATCACGCATTCTACCACAAACATCCAATATAAACTAATAAAAAAACTTGTTCCAACTTCAGAAACTCATTTTGATATATTGTCGAGCTATATTCTTTCAGTTTGTCTTTACATTACATCATCATTCATCAGTTTACAATACAGTTTATCCAGGCGTTTTCTAGTCTTGATTTCAAATACAGATTCAAGCTGCTCAGTCCTTGCTTTGAATAAAAATGAAGCTCGCTAGCACTGTGATGTTGTCTACCATTACCACTATGGTAGTTGCCAGAAATACCCTCCAGAAAAAACATTCGACGGGTGCTATTGGTCTCAACAACGCATTGTTTTTTCAAGCTGGCAATGAAGTTCAGTCTAATACTGATGGAAATGGACAAAATAATCCATATGCAGCCAATAATCCCATACCTAATCCCAATCGATCACCTTGTTCTGGTAATCCAGGTATTCCATGCAACAAAAACCCACCACCACCAAACACGCCCAAATCCAACATTGGTCGTCCACCTTGTCCTGGTAAGCCAGGTACTCCATGCAACAAAAACCCACCACCACCAAACACACCCAGGTCTAACATTGATCAACCACCTTGTCCTGGTAAGCCAGGTACTCCATGCAACAAAAACCCACCACCACCAAACACACCCAGGTCTAACATTGATCAACCACCTTGTCCTGGTAAGCCAGGTACTCCGTGCAACAAAAACCCACCACCACCAAACACACCCAGGTCTAACATTGATCAACCACCTTGTCCTGGTAAGCCAGGTATTCCATGCAACAAAAACCCACCACCACCAAACACACCCAGGTCTAACATTGATCAACCACCTTGTCCTGGTAATCCAGGTATTCCATGCAACAAAAACCCACCACCACCAAACACGCCCAAATCCAACATTGATCAACCACCTTGTCCTGGTAAGCCAGGTACTCCATGCAACAAAAACCCACCACCACCAAACACACCCAGGTCTAACATTGATCAACCACCTTGTCCTGGTAAGCCAGGTATTCCATGCAACAAAAACCCACCACCACCAAACACGCCCAAATCCAACATTGATCAACCACCTTGTCCTGGTAAGCCAGGTACTCCATGCAACAAAAACCCACCACCACCAAACACACCCAGGTCTAACATTGATCAACCACCTTGTCCTGGTAAGCCAGGTACTCCGTGCAACAAAAACCCACCACCACCAGACACACCCAGGTCTAACATTGATCAACCACCTTGTCCTGGTAAGCCAGGTACTCCATGCAACAAAAACCCACCACCACCAGACACACCCAGGTCTAACATTGATCAACCACCTTGTCCTGGTAAGCCAGGTACTCCATGCAACAAAAACCCACCACCATCAAACACACCCAGGTCTAACATTGATCAACCATCATTTTATAGTCCTCCCCCATCGACACCACATAGTGGGCACCAAGAAAACACTTCAACATCTTTTGAATCTAATTTTGATGGTGACTCGTTAACTCCAGACTTGTCAAAATCTGATATTGCTGAACATCCTAACCCTGATTTTGACAGTACACCAAAAAGCCCAAGTTTTTCAAAACCTAAGCTTTATAGCCATCCTAAACCTGATTTTGACAGTACACCAAAAAGCCCAAGTTTTTCAAAACCTAAGCTTTATAGCCATCCTAAACCTGATTTCGGCAGTACATCAAAAAAACCAAGTCTTCCAAAATCTGGGATTCGTGAATATTCTAAACCTGATTTAGACGATGATGATGAGCTGGATGATACCGATTCTTTGCGTACAAAGTCCAATGGTAAGAAATCAAAGGATGATGATGATCTGGATGATACCGATTCTTTGCGTACAAAGTCCAATAGTAAGAGTTCAAAGGATGATGATCTGGATGATACCGATTCTTTGCGTACAAAATCCAATAGTAAGAGTTCAAAGGATGATGATGAGCTAGACGACGATTTTGAAAGTGATGGTCATATGATACCATACAGTAATAAATCCTCAGTAACTTCAAGCTCGAGCTCGACCAAAACGTCTAGCTCCGATCCTTCAACAAAGACTGACAGTCCATTAGACAAGCATCGTAAAAAGCTATCCAAAACTCCACAGTATAGCAATAGAGATGAAATCATCGCCTCGAGTGCCTTTATTTCAAGTGTTTCAACATTTACTACTACTCTTGCTGCTCTTGTTCTTCAATTCATCATATTGTAGTTCAATTTCATGTTTTGTTACTGTATTCACGTAAAACGGAATACTAAGAGTCGGTGTATAATAAACGATTGCATTTTGAAATGATTGGTGTCAAATTACTGAGAAATATTATGAATTTGAATCATGTACAACTGGTGATAAGAGGGATGAGGATGGAGAGATCAAATAAATAAATGAGAGATTGTTAGAAGCCACCATCATCTGGTCAGTTCATCAAACACACGTTTGACTGTAGATGCTGCAGCATGACCGTGCGAGTTGTGCGAAAAGAAGCCATTTCCGAGGATATCTGTAAGCAATCGTATGGTTTTGATTGTGTATACACATTGCAATAAACGACTAAACTCTTGGCTGGAAGTTTGATGGTCCATTTGGTTTTCTACAAGCGCTTGACGCATTGAGGTGATCTTCCAGCATATTTCCACACAAGATCGTAATTATAAATGCATGTCAATCGATCTCCAGTCACTCATCTGAAAAATGAAAGGCTTCATACACAACCACAACATAAACCCGAGACTTTAAAATGTCACTGGATCTGGCGGTCAGGGCCATAAAAGCAACTAACTTGACCACACACAAGTGTGGTTGAATGGAGTTTGCAAGAGTACCGTCACAAACACCAATGATGATGGTTGCCGACGATCCCATTTTTACCATTTTTAATAACTGCAAGTGTTTCAGAATGTGACAAGTTTATTGGTTTTCAAAGTTGTCTGCCAAATATTTTGTTGGCTTTATTTAAAGGAAAAAGACAGCGGCAGCAAAGATAACAGCAGCAAATGAAGATGCGTGAGAGACAGCGGAGGAGAGTACAGGTTTATCGGAAGGAGGACTTGCAGGCGAGGAGGGCGGTAGACCAATGCTATCAGGATTTTGACCGCCTGGTGTTGGTGTTGGGGTTCCAGCTGGTGTGACTATATTAGACCCTGGAGTCTCATATGGTGGACCATATAAACCACTATCAGGAGTTTGGCCTGGAGGGTTACCAACTACGGTTGGAAGTGGAATGTTTCCGCCAGGTGGTGGTCCAACAGGTGGTGGTCCAACAGGTGGTGTTCCAACAGGTGGAGGTACACCAGGGGGAGGTGGGCTCACGTTTCCTTTAGGTGGGGGACTATCCTCGCAATCATCTTCAACTTCGTATTCCTCACAATCATCTTCGGGAGGTACAGCAGGTGTTGGTGGGCCTGCGTTTCCTTTAGGGAAGTCGCCACCTGGTGGAGGTGAGCTTGGAGGTGGACCAACAGGACCTGCTGGATACTGTGGAGGTGAACTTGGAGGTGGAACAATAGGACCTGCTGGATACTGTGGAGGTGATTTTGGAGGTGGAACAATAGGACCTGCTGGATACTGTGGAGGTGAGCTTGGAGGTACAATTGGTGAGCTCGGGACCGGTTTCGGGTTTTGGGGTGGAGGAGGTGTTCCATACCCAATTGGTGGAGTCGGACTCGGGATTGGTTTTGGGCTTTGAGTCGCAGGAGGGGGTGGAGTTCCATATCCAATCGATGGGCTCGGGATTGGTTTTGGGCTCTGGGTCGCAGGAGGGGGTGGAGTTCCATATCCAATCGATGGGCTCGGAATCGGTTTTGGGCTCTGGGTCGAAAGTGGTGGCGGTATTTCATATCCAATCGATGCACTTGGAATTGGTTTCGGACTTTGAGTTGCAGTTGCAGTATTACATGGGGTACTAACGACAGGTACAGTTGGGACTGGTTTTGGATTCTGAGTTGCAGTTGCAGTGTTACATGGGGTACTAACGACAGGTACAGTTGGGACTGGTTTTGGATTCTGAGTTGCAGTATCACATGGGGTACTGACAGATACATTTGGAACAGGTACACCTGGGAAGCCCGGTATGTTAGGAGGGGGTCCGGAAGGTGGTCCGGTGGGGTATCCAGAGTCAAGACTGAAACCAAAGTTACTAAAAGGATCCGATCCAAAGTTGGATTGACTGGGAAGAGCGGCCGCCGAAGCAGCCAGTGAAAGTACGATGTACGCAACAGTAAACCTCATGTTGCTCTATATCTGATAATAACAATTATTCAATATGCTATAAAAGAAAGAGTAAGGGTTAATAAGCCAAGATTAGGTTCAAACCCAAGTTTAAAGGCGTGTATGAGTATATACTAGAGTGTATGTGAGATGTAGTATACTGAGATGATATGGGTAGATGGGAACGCAATAAAAAGGTATAGGGGTGGGATATATGAGCTATTTAAATAGAGTTTGGTGGCAATCTGTATCTTACCAACAGGACGTTTTGCTGTCGAAACTGTGATGATGATGAAATTGTTTACTTACGGCCTTGTTTAAATGATATCTTCATGTGGCACTGGAGATCATTTAGCCTATACAAACGCAAGAATACTGCCAAAAGCATTGGCTGAAACATACGTGTTTAGACCATAGCCACCACCAATATAGTCTTATCGCAACATAAAACTGAGAATGGCTTTGAGATAAAGTTGAATGGCTGATAAAGATACTGGATGAGCCACTTGAGCCAACAATACAATTGTTCATACACAGCAATATACTTACTGCGGCGTAAATGCATATGGATTATCTGTTTGGAAAACTTGACAATCAAAGGAATAATTAATGCAGTTTGAAAAAGTTGCCACTTCATATGGCATCTGCTGTAAATTAATATCCACCACTCTCACCCACCACTCAGTGACACAAAGGGTGTATTTTGATTTTCGTTGATGCAGCCACTTGCAATATACAGCATTGCTACGATCATCAAAAGCATTCATTTAGCTTTTAATGCTAGTAGAAAAACTCAATTAGTAAATTGGACGTTGTGCTATACTTGATAATTCAGGATTTGAATTGTTATCTAGACATTTTCAACTATCCAAATAAATCATGGCTGTTTCATAGCCTTGCATTTTGTATACCGCCGATATTAGATAGTATAATGCACAAATAAACTAAATATTGGATATAGCTGCACTTGTATACTTTGAATTTACTGCCACATGGATCTGCTTGACAAATCAAAAATCTGTCAATTTCAAAGCAATAAGCTATTTTAAAATATTCAACCTTTTCAGATGTACACTGGAAAGTCAGTGGCCATATGTATGTCCCGTACAAGCATATTTGGCTTGTTGGTCGACAAAATATCAATGAATCGTTATCAGTATTTTACACAATTGGCTCTGGTTTCGACCATACAATTGACTATATACCATTATATAATCAGTCAAATACGCAACAGCAGCCAAGTCTATTTTTATCACATAGATGACCCTGACAGCAATCATGAGAATCATACAATGCTACTGAATCCTTGTTGATGGAATGACTAGGCTGCCTGCAGTTTCTTGCAATCCATTCTCTATCATGATCATCCTAATCAAAGATGTACCATCGCCAATGCATTTTCCAAAAATCAAATCGTATGTTGATATCAATTTCCTGTATAAACAGTTTGTAGGATTGATATGATTACCAATTTTAGGGTGTAATTTGACTGATTCCACACCAAAAAATTATCTGGTTCTATTAAATATTTTAAACTTGCGATCCAGGCTAGTCGGATTTTACGGCTAATGATAAAAAGGTTATGATAATGGAGATAAATGAGAGCCTCGACAAACATCAGCATTGAGATGGCTTGCGGTTACACTTCTGGAGCACAATCTTTTGGGCGGTAGTAGGATGAGTTGAAGCTGTTCATCTCTCGATTCATCCAATCGGCTTTCTGCTTTCACAGCCGCGCTGCCATCTTTATTGATGATGTCGAATCTTGACCGTTTTATAGTTGCCAGCGTTATTCAACAGAGGAGTGCATTGTCTAGCACGACACATGTCAATACACCATTGTTCAAGTTGGAAACACGCCGTTGATCAGTCCTATATTGTTTTATTTCGAAAATAAACATTCTTACATGTCAATCAAAAAACCAGCTCAATGTTTTCATTTTCAACTGACATTATTTGAAACAGCCATATGAGCATCAAAATCAACTATAGCCAAGAAAGTAGTGTCACGTTTTCAATAAAAGATGAAACTGCCATGGCACGTGATTGTGTATAGCGACCAATACCAGTATCAATACCCATCATTTACAGTCAATTCGATATCTTGACTATACTAAAAAGCAAACCATCTGCTCGTATTGTGCATGCATTTTGTCTAAATCATGTGGATTGTGTTCAATTTCAACCTCGAATTTAAACGTGAAAATAATTGTAAAAATAGTTTTCTAATCCAAAAACAGTCGTGACGGTATTATCGCCAAACGGTCCATTCGGCCATAATGACCATGACTAAGCCATCAAATAAACTCGAGGGATTTGATTTCTATCACAAAGGACTTGGCAGTTCCAAATATGTGGTTGCACCCATGGTTGACCAGTCAGAATATGTATGTTGATATAGCTGATTCATCACTTGCCTGCTCCAATTTGACATTTCTATGGAATCAATTTAGGCTTGGCGAATACTTTCTAGAAGGTATGGTGCACAGTTGTGCTATACACCCATGTTTCATGCAAAACTTTTTTCAGAGCATCATAAATACCGCAAGCAAGTGTTTTCAACTGGTGAATTCGATCGGCCATTAATTGTTCAGGTATACTAGACACCATGCATATCATCTACAACAATGTGTACTATTGGGTATTTAGAATCACTCAATTTTTAGTATATCTTATTAGTTTTGTGCCAATGACCCTGAAACGCTGTTATCTGCAGCCAAACTTGTTGAAGCTCAGTGCGATGCAATTGATCTTAATCTTGGGTGTCCACAAGGCATAGCCAAAAAAGGTCACTACGGATCGTTTCTTCAAGACGAATGGGATTTAATTGCATCTATGGGTAATGATATGGATTTATTGTTGGTTATGATTGGATTTTAACTTACATTGACTAAACTATGAGGGTTGAATGTTTAGTTAAAGCTGTTCATGAGCACATTAGTGTACCAATTACTTGCAAGATTCGTATATTTCCAGATGTGAAAAAAACGATCGAGTATGCACTGATGTTGCAAAATGCTGGATGTCAGGTTAGTTCAGGTCATCCCAATTAAATATATTGGCAGGATTTAGACCAAGGTTGACACATTATTGAAGCTTTTGACAGTACATGGAAGGCTTAGAGAGCAAAAAGGACAATTGACTGGCTTGGCGGATTGGGACCAGATTAGACAAGTCAAGTGAGTCTTGTTTTGTCAATTGGTATTCGATTTTGTAGATATACTCAATGTGGATCATTTACACGTCGATTCTAAACTAGAGAGGCCTTGTCGATTCCAGTGTTTGCAAATGGAAACATACTGTATCATGATGATGTTGAACGATGCATAAAAGAAACCGGTGTTGATGGTGTTATGACCGCAGGTGGGTCTATTTCATGTTTGGATATATCAAACACTACATGACTAAAACGATTTTAATTGGTGATTAGAGGGAAACTTGTACAATCCGGCAATTTTTTCAGGAAAACATCTTGACGCATGTGATGTTGCACAAGAGGTATTTGAATGCATTATGCAGATTCAGCCCATGGTACTAACATTATATGGTTATATCTATTCAGTATTTAAACATATGCAAAGAATATCCAGGAAGTTCTGATGTTGGAAGTGCCAAGCCACATCTATTCAAGATGCTGCATATGTGGTAACTTTGTGTTTGCAGCTAATTGCAGTGATATTGGAATAGTATTGTTTGGCTTGTATCTGATGATTTATTTTGTAATCAATGATATAGCCTATCTAAATTTCCAGATCTCAGAAAAACGCTTGGTGAAGCGCACACATTTGAAAAACTCGAGGCATTTTTAAACCAATTAAAGAGTCTTGTCAAGGTGCATTGTCAAATACTGCACCTTGGATGAGTTTCTTTTTGTCTTGATTAAATAGCTGACGTTTTATTCTATAAATATAGGTTGACAAAGAATCGATGGATGGCATTTCGGTAATAGAAGCAGCGACTCATGGAGGGTTTAAAAAAGTACCTTATTGGCTTTTGCAGCCATTTATTCGTCCAGATGCATCGCATGCGTTGAATCGACAGCGTGAACAACGTGAGAATGCCCAGCTTCAAAAGAAACAAATGGGATCTATAGCCACACATGGATCAGTAGTAGAAGATGGAAATATTAGCAAAGGGGTCAAGCGTCTCGAATCAGACCAAAGTACTACGACAAGCATAGATCTAAACTCAAATGATGCTGATGGAAATATGGCTAAACGAACCAAGCGAGGAAATATATGTATATCATGCCCTAATACTGGATCAGTAAAGTGTATTGAATCAATGTGCAAATCATGTTGCCGAGCACATTTGAAGGTGAATGCCATATATACGTGCGAGTTTCATCGTACTTTTAGTTCTATTCAACAAGACTGTCAAAAACTTGATTAAACAATAAACTAGTAGTATGAGTTTTGTATGAATAGAATCAGCTGCATTCACATAAAATGGAACGCTAAATAAGTGTCAAAACACATGATAAACAGTTAATCTCGTCAAGCAACTGATACCAATTTACTGGACATTATTGTTTAGAAAGTCTGGTAGTTTTAGCATCTAAACATGTCTTGTGAATTTCTACTTTTATGCAAAGCTTTGCATAATATATTGCTATGAAAATCAACACTTTTAAGTGACAGACAGATTGACACTATCTGGATTTCAATGAACGAGTCTGTTGATCGTACAATGTGTGACTGCAAATAAAAGCAAAATCATGGTTTGTGTGTTTAAACGACGACATGTAACATTTCCAAACACGCATATTATTCCAGACAAGATTTCGTTCCATAAAGTAATGAGTTGGACATAGTTTACCAACTATTCAACACACATTGTACGAATTGGAGTGTTATATGATTGATTCTTGGAGCGTGTATAAAACGAGTCGAGTTAATAAAGTGTCGAGTCATTCCAGACACCAAGAATGACAATCTTTATGAAAATAGCGAATATCAAAGCAAGGATTATTTTGGAGAATGACAGCAATTTCATGTTGTGAATATGACTGGAATGCAATAGAAATGACAGATTCATTGGTCATGTGTAAGCGATAAGCAACTTGCAAATTCACAGAAGCTGACATTCAAAGTGCAATAAGATAGGAATTACTAGAACATCAATTACTGGATATTAACTAGTATGTTCAAGAAGCCATTTACTATCAAGTCTCAGACACTTTTACGGTCATCCGATATCAGGAAGTTACGATCCAGAGTTGTAGAACAGTTCAGTCCATATGCAACATGTAATACTACAGACATTGCTTCTGTTCTATTTGGAACAGACAAATCCACTCCAATCACTGCTGTTAGAATCGTAACTCATGCTGGTAGAACAGTGACGCTGTATGTAGTCAACAGCATACCAATACTGTTTGTTGATACAGTAGACAGTCTAAACAGCAACCGTTTAGATGAAGTCCTGTTTCCAACTGTATATGCTCTATGGAGAGGTGTACAGATTGGCTGTTTCTTTACTCCAAAGCCTGTTCTGGATCGTCTGTTTAATGGTGCAGGTACATTCCTAGTGATGCCCTCATCTCTGCAAGCCTATATTACTACATTATACTCACTATAGATGAATAATGAATATATGACAGATTTGATGATGCCTGGAGTTATTTCTCATTCAGGTGATAATCATCCATTTCATGTAGGAACAGTCATGGGTGTATGTGGCCATGGGTCATTGTAAGTGTATTTTCATAAAACTCGATCGTCTGAATATTCAACTCGATCAATAAGCTGATACCAATTCAAATGCAACATACTCAGAACTCCATTAGTTGTTGGAACCGCATTGATTTCAAGTCACGATCTGGACGATGCATTCCAGAAAGAGAGTGTACGAGGAAAAGCGCTGCATACTTGCCATACTTATGGTGATGAACTCTGGTGAGCTTTAGTGTACTTCATTACAAGGGTGTAGAGTTATATAGCAAGCTAACAGTTGATGTATTGTCTTGTAGGGCATATGGAGGAAGTCTAGATCCACCTGTAGAATTGAATCTTTCTAGTGAGCTTTAAAAATTCAATGATTCTGTTTAAACTCAAATTACTGACACCAATTGTGTACTGAATCTATAGTGTCGGATCAGGTCAAAAAAGTTCAAAGTTTAGATTCACTTTCAGAGCAATCACTATCCATCATCTCCAACACGGATGCAATCGATACTGTCCAACAGCTCACTTTGGATAAATTAGACGGATGGACACTTTTGAGTGGAGATAGCGAGTCAGATCTATATAGCTTGGTGGATTCGGAATTTTCAACAGATTTGGTCACCAACACTCATGTAGCTAAAGAGAATCTAGAACAGCCCACATCTGAAAACAACGAATCTCTCGTTGAACCTGTACAAGTAGCCGAATGCATAAAAGGTTGTATTGCAATATGTGGTATACATTTTTAATGAATGTATAGTATATTAACCATATGTTTGATTTAGAAAATGATCGGTTAATGCAAACTGCGTTTATGACTGCTGCTATTCAACATGCCAAAAAAACCCCACATCTGTTGCCCATCTCTGGCAGTACATTTTACTCCAACTATGTTCTCCCTAGTCGTGAATGGGGAACCACTTTGGATATCAAAAAAACATCGTTTAAAAAGGTTGGGATATGTAATCGAATTACTTGTATACGACTGTGTTCCTGAATATGATGTTATACGCGGTTTTTGTTTCTAGTTGTCCAAGTATTACAAGACGATTGAAAAGGAAGGGATGATCAAAACTAAAGAGCAAGCAGGAGAGATTCGCATTACATTCATCAACTTTTCTCATTCATTGTAAGACTTTTGAGTAAACTATAGCAGCAGCTGGTTGTATTTACTATTTGTGAAATTGTAAATATAGATTTGAAGGATTTGAAGTGCCTTGTAAGTTGGCGGGAAATGGAAGGTGCACAAATGAGACTTCCCAGCTAAAAAAGAGCGAGTCTGAAACAAGTACAGTATCCCACAGTAGCAAACAAGCAGGTGGTAAACTTAGTTTTACCAATCTATACATGCCACCTAAAGGCAGTAGTATTATTGATTTGTTTCAAGAGGTGAACAAAATGTGAGTTTTTAAAATCTGTTGTATATTATCATACTTTATTGTACAATAACTAAAAGTAATCTTTTGAGCCAGTCACCCACTGCCCAAGTACATGACAGCACATGATATTCGTCAGGCAATTGACGCCTATGCGGTAGAAAATAACCTTGTTGATGTAAATGATAAGCGATACATCAAATTTGATATTTTACTATATGATGCGGTTCGAACCAAGAATGAAGATGCAGCTATTGCCAATGATCGTATCCGGAGAGATATCATACAGGAGCGTATTATTTCCAAACTAAACAAATTCTATCAACTCAAAATTGGTGATGTACTTCAACCTGTCAAGTAAGTCTTGTGGATTCATAATCTATTATTTTGATAAGAGATTGGCTAACCCACAAAATGGCAATGCTACTGTTTGGATATCAGAAAAGGAGTATTTCCAATGATTCAAATTTCAATTGAAAAACGCAGTAAATCTAAATCATTAACTTGCGTTTTGAACCTTCAGCATTACACTGATAAATTGCAAGACATTGCTCACGAGTTACGATTAAAGTGTTCTGCAAGTGTATCAGGTAATATTCACTTTTATCACGATTTTATTGAATTAGAGTGAAATTTATATTGAATTTATAATTCAATATACTAGTAAATGGAACACCAATTGCGCCAGAGATGATTGTACAGGGATCCAAAGCGTACGAGGTATGCCAGACGTTGCATGAAATGCTGGGAATTCCTATTCCACCGGGTCTTGTTGCAGTGCGATCAGGCATGAAACCCAAACCATGCGAGAACAAATTTATTAAAATAACTTGACAATGTTTTATGCAAATTGGTTGCAATGCATTGATTGCAAGATTCGAATAAACCGTTTTGGCCAAGATTGTGATCGAAATCGCTCATTTGTAATTTAGCTTTTTGCAGATGAACAGATTGAATCTGACTCAAGATCATGCTATTCACTACCCTTGTACGCAAGTCTCTTGTCAGTACTGTCAATAAAAAACCCCTTCACTATTTAGTCTATGTGAAAGACTGTGTTGACAAAGAAGCCTATTCCCGCCGTCTTGCTGCCAGACCCAAACATCTAGCAGATGCTCACGAACAGGCTGAACGAGGCATTATTGTTCTTGGAGGTGCTTTGATGAGTGAAAAAACAGCTCATCATGAAAGTGCTGGTCGGATGACTGGATCTATGCTTATTCTAGACGTACCAGACTTGGCCACTGCGCATGCTGTTGTTGCAAATGATGTCTATACAAGGGATCGAGTGTGGGATCCTCAACAGACGGTCATATGCGAGTTCAAGTGTGCACCACACTTTAAGATGGGAATGGACACAGATTCCAAGAAGCATGGATCTGCTGCTGGCACTGAATCGACCAACACCACCACTGTTACTGAATAGCGGCAGATTGAATTTCAATAAATGTGATTTTCACGGCTTTCGTCACAGCTAATGACAGTATTTTTATTGAAACTATTCACCGCCGCCATATTCACGTCAGAGGGAATACAAAATGTCAATACATGAACAGTCAATCTCATGATTGAACAATATTGTGGTTTTTGATTCTTTTTCTAATAATTGTCATGTAGAATTGAATTCTTGAATTAAAGCGTAAATGTATTCGAGTATTTACTGTACAACAAATATGAGTTGAACACATTATCTGATTTCAAATAAATCTGATGATTCTACAATGTATGACTTTATCAAAAAAAACAATTTTGATTCAAAACTATCGATTGATTGTACATGATATTGTATTTCAAAGAATCAAGATTATATTAATGTTCAATAGAAAAACAACGAATATTTATTGTTGATTTCAGACGCAGTCACTGCAAGATGAATGGTATCCCGTTTTACGTAAAAATGGTTGTAAATCGAACACAGCATACAAGAGTATCAAGGTGACCAGTAAACAATATTTCCTGCATCTCCTGCTGAAACAATTGCTCCTGTTTGACTGTGCACTGACAGTGAATTCAATCCCAATCGAATGGTGTTGGATCGATATTTTACCGATTCTTCTCCTGAAAATCCAATGGCAAAACCAGTATGACCAATCCCTTTTTGAGCAAGATCTCTACTAGCCATACTTGTCCATGCACTAAAAATATCAAAATTCAATTAAAATACTGACATTCCAGTATATCTAATGTAGAAGCTTAAGAGTCAATAGAAAGGGATATTGGATCAATCTTACCAGATCGATCCGTCCTCTGAACAGCTCCAAACTTTGCCTATATCATTACTTGAAATTTGAAGATCCCATACTAGAGTGATGGAGTATTAGTTGCAATTAAATATTAAACACGACAATCTCGCCAAGTATGTAATTACCAATCGATTTGTGGTTTTTGGTATCTGAAGATTCTGGTGATGAAACATTTCGCAAGTCCCACAGTTGTACAATTCCACTTTCAGTACCGGTTACAAGCATTTCAGATTGAGTTGGATGAACAGCCAAACTATGGTGCGATTGTAATACAGCTCCGTGACTGTATTCGAGTATAAAGTCAGATAATCAGTCAAAAACTAGATTTTTTGATTAAAGCAAAAACATTGCATAACCTACTCTGCAAACACCAATGCAGGTTTATCTGCTCGCTGATCTATCAAACAAATACGCCCAGACAAACTTGTCGTTACCTAAAATGTGAATGTCAGATTCAGACCAACATTACAAAAACAACACTAGTGCATGACAGATAAAATTATGCCCAAAACATACCACTTGAAATGGTGTTCGCCATTGTACATTAGTCAATGTCTGACTATCCACTTTAGCAATTGTATGCTGAATACGACCATCGATTGTGCTGAATACAACCTGTCCATCGGATCCAACAGATGCAATCTGACAATGATCACCACCAGAACGAGATATATCCAAAGCAGTGCATCCAGCCAAGTAACTTGCATGTCTTGTATGTGCTTGAGTTTCAGACATTGGGATTAGCTTGAATTCATCCCGACTATCTATTCGGAATATATGCAGATATCCATCCTCGGTTGAAGTGACCAACATGGATCCATTTTGAGTAAATTCGATACCAGTGATTCCAGATCTGGATGAAATATCAGTAGATGAAAGTTGATGGATTGTTGCTTCATTGCTAGTAGATACAGATACGTTGCTATTGGATGTAACGGAAGCGATTGCATCATTTGTGTCTGAATTGGATAGTGGATCGAATGACCACATTGAAATACAGGGAGATGAGCAATCAAACGTAGCAGTAGCAAAAACCGAGCGACCCATTCGTTCCAAAGTAGCTGGAGCCCATCTTACTTGAGAAACCTTTTGAATAGTAAGTGGTCTTTAAACATGCAATTTTGGTTAATCTAATGAAGATAAAAATAAAAATCGACAGAATTATACGCACCCAGAACGAAGAATACGTGGCTGGATGGCATCAGAAGAGAGCATGACTACAGAAATGTATGCGGATTGCTGGATTAACAAGTTGTTGGACAGATTAAGAATATTTGAATCAATTGTGCTGCAGGTATTAATCACGTGTGATCACATGATTAGGTGTGTATGCAGATTTGCTCATCTCGCATTTTGCATCACATTTGCCAACAATGCTTTCTGGGTGAGTTGTGTAGCAAACTACTCTTGCTTGGTGTCAGTGTTGCTTTGTTCAATGTGCAAGACAAGGAGAAACAAACACCGTTTTGTGTACTATTGTACAGTGCTGGTTTGAATTCCGTAGATTTATTCTATCTGTCAAGCGGTTAGCAAGTGCTCTTGGCCAATTTATTCAACATTCATTAACAGTATACTTTTATTGTCATGATATGTTATATGCAATTAGTCTGCAGTATCTCAAGCACAATCTTTATCATTATCCCACTGCGTTTGTCTCAACTATCTTGGGCATTGCAGGTAAATATATCACTTTTAGACTCCCAAACATCAATGTATATTGGTAGTTTCAAGACACCACAGGACAGATACAATTGGACATTCATCCTGGAATCAAGTGTTTGATTTTCAACGATCGGATTCATACCATAAACAACTCATTCAGGTTTACTTTAGATTCACTGAATCTTGAAACTCATTTGGTGTTGATCTAGCCATGCTCTAAAGTCTTGTGATATTACTTCAAACTTACATATTACTCGATTTGATTTATCCACATCACTACGTTTATAGCACCTGTGATCATTTTCGTGGTTTATCCTATTCGTTATGAAATGGGTTACAGAAGACCGTTGCACATTCCCAAGTCATTCCCAGGTATTTTATAAAATATCATGTTTGTTTTACAAACTCGTAGTTTTATTTCTGTACATGACGCTCGACTTTCTTGGATGTAGCATGATTTGCTAATTTTTTGAATTTCATATCACATCAATAGTCCCCAACAGAGCACGCAATTTTCCCGTTGGATTTGGAGACGAATAAATGGGTTCAAATAGCGGTTTTTACCTTGAAGCTACTTTAAGCCATTACATTGTATAGTTTGATATCATCCTAAACCCACTAGTGCGGTATGCTGAACTGTAAAGTAAAATCTGCCTTTTTAAATGGTGCGAGGCATAGTAACGTAATCTAGCTTGCAACTTTTATTGAGAACTGGCATGATTATTAAGATTCAAAAATGGAAGCCACTTGGACCGAGTACAATAATTAGTGTTTATTACCTTTACCAAGCCAATTTCTTAATCCTGTAGATTGATTCGACTTGACACTAGTGAAAATTAGACTAGTGGACAACATTGAAGATGCATACAAGCCTGATACATCCAGTTGTATCTACCAAACCAATTGGCGCAAGTGATTCCAAGATTTTATTGTATTTGAATATGAATCATATATTTTCTGCTACACGACGTATCCTAATTTCCTTTTCCTCCATCAACGCATACACCTGTTCCTGCTCCTGTCGAGTAAAAGCCGATGACAAGGTTGTAAACGCCATCATATACAATTCTACAACATCAGACACGATATGAAAAGTGTGGTCAGGCACATGCAAACAGTTGTACAGTCCAGCCTTTTATAACAAATTGATGATACCTTTAGCCCACGGACATTCACGCACACCACGGTAAAATAGTGCTTTGGCTCTATCGAGCCGTTGTGTTGTGTCGATTTTTGCTTCAAATGCAATTGCCATATACCAGATTGAAACTGAATGCATTGATGTGGCAGACTCGATAGCCTTTTCAAACAGAGATCGAACAACATGAGTGTTGATAGTCCCTCTTTGATGCATTTCAGACCAAATCGAAAATATCACAATCAAATGAGATGGCGATCTACATCCAACACCATTCATAGAAAAACAGGTTACTTGTCCATCCTACATAATACAGCTATTTAAAATTCAAAACAGCTTACTTGGTATGCAATTCGCTCAAAAACCGTCTTACACGATTCTCAATTCCTGTTTTTGCCTCATTCCATCCGTATACAGTAAGAAATAGCGTGTTGGTTGGGTAAATTTCTAATGCTTCCTCAAGCACATTTCGCAACAGTGCAGGTTTGAACGCATGGCCCGACACAGTATGTACATATAAAAGTCGTGTCCATAGTTCATACATGTACTCAATTAAAAGCGAGGATGACCCCAATGAAAAAGAAGTCGAGGTAGAATGGGTATCTGTCTTCAAAGTCGTGTACCTGGAATGAAATTGAACCAACGCCTGCCGACATTTATCTATAAGAGTTTTAAAACAATGGTTTGATGCATCAATCCCATGGGATATATATTCTAGCATGGTGAATGCATAGACTACATCAATCAGATGCTGCATATCAAAATTGTATATGGTTTGGTCTATACATTCAAGAAGACGATCTATTGTTTGCTCAAAATGCTGCATGGCAAAACATGAACGCACAAGTCAGTTGATGCTTTAAAAATGCAAGACATTGCATGAAATACTAAATACTGCTACACTTGCCTTGTTTACTTTGAGTAATCGGGTTGGAGCAGGTGGTTGAGTTGCATAATCATCTATTCAAAACATGCAAAATGGGGTTAAAACGAGGTTAAAACAAGATACAAAAAAACATTTCGAGTCTAAAAATGTAAATCTTTAAACCAAAACTTGTCTGTAAACTTACTAGCTAAAGGTTTCCGTTCCGCCAAAGCAACCAACACATTCATTGCAGCAACGTATTGATTTTGCATTGCTTCCAAATTTGCCAAAAGTGTATACACAGATGTCACCATAGATTGGTGTTCAGAAGGAAAGCTTGGATATGAGGCAAGGGCAGTTAAATACACCTGTCTAGCCTCATCTATTTTACCACGACGTTCAAGAACTTGCGCATAGGCATTCCAAAGTCCAAGATTCATGCGATCTGTTTTCAAGAGCGTTTTGGCCATTTTTTCAACCCTACTCATATGAACATCACAACCAGTATATTAGCAATGGGCGTTTTAAAGCCATGGTGTTTAAACTTGAAAACAACACATGTCACCTTTTTGGATGTGATGAAGCTTCAATGGATAGCAACATGGGCAACAGCCAAGGATCGTCTTTAAAAAGCAAATGGCTTTGCTGAATGATAATGCTGGATTTGAAACACGAGAAATGGTTAGATTAATGCAATCTTGTAGCGATGATGCATGCAAATCTACTGTCGTATCCATTCAAATTTACCCAATCATGGACCGCTTTCCAATTCCAAGAAAATCAATTAGATCAGCATCGTCGCTTGTAAAATTAGATAGCCAAGACTTTCCGTCTGAAACTAATGTCCACATTGAAAGTGGAAACGATCGTACAGGAAACGCCAATGATCGTTTGGACTGATGACCCATTTCTCCATCATCTACGGCTGAATCTGGCAATACAATAAACAAAGTGGATCCAGCTAGATTTCCAATCTCGTCATTCAAAAACTGGTCTTTAGATGGCAAGGACTGTGATGTTTGAGGAGTGTGAAACGATGCTCCAAGCAATTTCAAAAAGTTGGATACAAGGCATCGTTTTGTTTCAGGGTGCTTTATATCAAACATCAGACCACGGATATCCTCAAAAAGAACAGTTCTGAACGGATCATCCGCAAGTTCTGGGAAAAAAGATGATTAAGTACAAGATTTCAGACACGACAATGAAAGCACAAGTCCAGTAGTTTTGATGACCCTCTTACCAGCATCAGCTCCGCGCAGAGGAAACCATTCCAGCTGTTGATGACAAAGCTCACGGGCCGCCCAATGCTCGTACGAATCCTCTTGGCCCTCCTCCAATGCGAGATCGGATACAGTTTTATCAGTATACTTGAACGAGGGTGTTTCATCCACTATAAAAACAATGCAGATTTGCAAAACATATCATGTAAGAAATGTTGAAACCTAGCATCTAATTGACCAAATCTTACCGTTAAACAAACTTTTCTCCCAGCCTTTTGCACTCTAATGCATGTTGCAATTCAAACCACAAAAGTAAATACATGTTCAAATCATAAGCCAGGATGGTACAAAGAAAAACAATCACTTACAGGCTCGCCAAATCGGGCACATTCACTTTCCCAAAATGATTCAAACAAATCCAATCGCTGTTTGAATGTCTGTCCATGAAACGCAGCAGGACAGTAACACGAAAATTCAATCATGGCTTGAAATGTCGCTATAGACCGCTCAGTATTTCCAGACTGCGATAGTAATGCACAAGCACGCGTGAATACATGAAGAAGATTGGTTTCACTCTCAAGACTGATATCTAAACTCGACAGTATAAAATCACAAATGAATGCACTGTAGATAAATATCAATCTTGATTCTTTATACACTACATATCGTGGTGTAGATGTTCAATTTTCACCTTGATCGTTTTCTTGCAGTGTTTCAAGACACTCTTGAAATGCTTCCAAAGATTGACTGACAGAAAACTGTGCATAGTGAGTTTGTCTGAAATCAAGGTATTTTATCCACAGCATAAACGAGTCTGGATTTTCTTGAATGATATCATCCCATTTTGAAAGAACATTTTCAACACTAAACTCGTTGCGTTTTGGGTTAGCCAACAGTGACAAGATTCTAAAACGAATTGCACTCGATTAAACAATACATTGCAACACACTTACTCGTGTAGTTGCATGATGCAATCCATGTATGCAGACAAAATACGTTCATCTCTGGGAAGAGATTTAAGTGCCTTGTCAATGATCGACATCTTTTTTTCTGTGATAACCCGTTGCATAGCACCACGTTTTTGATTTGAAACATTCACCAACAAATCATCTTGGATCTTGACAAATGCCAGCCAAGCATCAGGATTTTTGACATTCTAGAAATAAACATCCATATTGGTCAACTCAACACGCACTACAATGTGTCGACATGGTCATTCATGACAAATTAAACAAGCCTATACAAGATTAAACCTTACCCTACGAATAAGCTGATCAGCTTCTTTGGATTTAGATTGAAATGCCAAATCCTGTTCAAACACTTTTAAATCCAACTGGGAGTCTTGGTCTACATTTTCCATTTGATTATCATCCTGCAATTTGATAAAATCCAAAGCATGTTTTGATGCATGATTGAAATCTGACACTGCATGAATACGCTTGGGTGCCAAAACTCGTTCTGGATTTAAACGCAACATACTCTTGAATACTTTGTATCGCTCTGGATTCTAAAACAACACATGGTTAAGCAAACCCCAAACCTGATTGAGCATACATCAAATAGTGATTGACTCACTGTCATATCAGAAGTGATCAATCGATTTCCTTTGGATTCGAGTCGGATCAATCGAGCTTGACCCATTACACCACGACTTATTACTCTCCATCTATGATCTGTTGCACCTAATAGTTCAACCCTGACCCGTTTGTATAACGGTATATCCGAGTTTCTGACTCCCTCGTACAAAATGTTATCCAAACATCCTTTTTTGTCAATATAAAATGGTGGTGGATCATCGTGATGGTCAAGGTCTCGTTTATGATGTTTTTTGGATTTGGATGATTTATGTTTATGACTCCGTTTCTTGGATTTTTTAAGTTGCTTGAAGGAATGAGTGTCTGAATCTGAAGAAAGTGTCGAGTATGTTTTTGCAGTGGGTTCAACCCATGCAGATGTTGTTACGTCCTGAAGTGCAGGAAGAAACTGGGTTGGAAAAGAATTGAAGGATGGAAATGCTGGTGTTGGTATAACAAGTGTCGAAGTTGAATCTGCGGATGGTTTTATGAGTGATGATGGCTGTATGGATGAATCAGACATTTCTCAATATCCAATTCAAATAGTTTGTCAACTTGAACTATAAAAATTAATCGTAATTTTATTCATTTTATATTCACGTCAGAGGGAATACAAAATGTCAATACATGAACAGTCAATCTCATGATTCAACAATATTGTGGTTTTTGATTCTTTTTCTAATAATTGTCATGTAGAATTGAATTCTTGAATTAAAGCGTAAATGTATTCGAGTATTTACTGTACAACAAATATGAGTTGAACACATTATCTGATTTCAAATGAATTTGATGATTCTACAATGTATGACTTTATCAAAAAACCCAATTTTGATTCAAAACTATCGATTGATTGTACATGATATTGTATTTCAAAGAATCAAAATTATATTAATGTTCAATAGAAAAACAACGAATATTTATTGTTGATTTCAGACGCAGTCACTGCAAGATGAATGGTATCCCGTTTTACGTAAAAATGGTTGTAAATCGATTTTTTATTTGAAATGAATTAAAACTGGACTTGAACCCAATCACTGATTCAAATGGTATCCAAGAGTGTCCATGGCTGAGTTGAGCTATAAAACAGAAAAGGCTGAATACCGTTGTTCATTTCCATCTGACCAACTAGAGAAACAGTAGCTTAGATAAACCCCAAATGTACGTTGGTGTGCACAGATGTGGAAATAAAACACATTTGCCATCATAAGTAGAAACGATGGACGGAGATTTGACATGCCGATTTGTTAAAGCACAAAAGATATGTAAGTGGGATAAATACGAGTTCATGGATATCACTATATTTAAAGATAAACAGGTTTCACGTCCTGTTGACCAAACGCTGTGCCGCATGCTGGACATTTCCGCTGCCGTGAGCTGTAGATCTTGTCGATGCAATCTTTGCTGTTTACGATTCAATATAGCAATGCCATTAAAAACAAGGTTGGTATCTTGGAAAAATGTAACATTCAACACTGGTAAGCTCAAACAATTCCTTACCAAAACGTATGCATACACTTGAGCAAGACGTGACTCTTGAAGTTGTTGCTGCAACTTTGACATTTTAATAAAAGCTACAAAACATCAGGCCAAATGTAAGCGACAGAATCCAACACCATTCAATATTATCCATACATTAAACCATTTGAAATAGTTACCTTGTACTCCTCCAACTGCTTTAGTAAACTGGCGTCGCCTTGCGGTTGGGTGTTTGTCACTGTTTCCAATTTCTTTTTCAACAGATCCATTTGTTCCTGTAGCCTGCGTTTTGCATCCAGCTCATGTTCAACCAACTCGGTTTTTTGTTTTACAACGGTCACCAACTATATTTACATGACCATCAAAATAAATATATCAACTAAAAACTCGAGCTGTATCTGCAGGCCACTAAATAAGCTACCGAGACTCGACACTATGCATACCTGATCACAGCGCTGAGATGCTCTGTCAAATCGCTCTTTATACTGGCTCACTTGTTGCATTAGATCAGCGACTTTACGCTTTTCCTTCTCTAGCAAGGGTGCTTTTGCTGCTGCCTCCTTTTCCAATACTTGCTATAAATAGATAAACATGTTATATAAAAACAGTCGAACCAATTCAATAGCATTAAGCCAGTATATACACAAAGCATGCCTTACCAATTGCATGGACATGTTTTTTTCAATCTCTTCCTGCTTGCGAATCTGCTCTAATTGCTTATCAGACTGCCGTCTAAGCGCAATGCCCATATTATTATAAGTAGTACTTTGTTTGGAAAGCAGCGCAAACTTTTGCTCATACTTTGCTTTCTGTGTAGATCGTCAATACAATCAAGCCATTAGCCTCAACCATTCAAAACACGGTTATAAAACCATTCCAAATTTTAGTGAATTACCTCGGCAAGCAATCGCATGATATGGTCCTCCTTTTCTGCTAGATTAGTCACGCGCTTAGAATTCTGTCCTTCCAAATCTGCCCATGCTTTTCCAATGGTTTCAATTTCCGTCAAAAGTCTAGACTCGGTCTAATGAAAACAAGGTTTATCATTTATACTTTTGAAGCTGTAACCGTATCAGTCTTACCTTTTGATAATATTCACACTTTGTAGACAAATCATGCAACTTTTTGGTTTGATCTTCTAGCAAGGTTTTGGACTCGAGATCTATTGACTCGTACATAGTATTATATCTTTCAAGTTTTTCAGCAAGTGCCTGTCGATCCTCTTCCACGCTAGACAATCGGGCAGAGAGTTCGGCAAGTGCATCGTTGGATTGTAAGCTTTTTGCAAGCTTTTCAAAATGCTCTCGTTGAGCTTTAAGCTTTGTAATTTGATCTTTCAAGACTAGATATGGATTTTCCTGTGGATTTTCGTCAAAAAATTCCAAGAGGCCTCTTTCGCCGGAATCCGCTGCCAAGCGCATTTTTAACCGTTGCACCTCGGCTTCTAGTGTTATGATTCGATTAGATCTGGTGTCGGCAATAACCTTTAGTTCTTGGTGTTGCTTGATTTCCAAATCATCCTTGACTATCCGTTCGTCTAGTGTTTTTTGTAGAGCATCACGACCGGTACGAATTCGATGCAAATCCAGTTCGAGTTTTCGATATTCCGATTCAAGAATTTTGCGCTCCTTGGCTTCAATGGTACGAACTTGTTCTGTAAATACTCTGCGGTCGCTGTTAAGAGTTTGATTTTCCATTAAAATTCGTTCCAACTCGGTTCGCAGTGCTTCTTGCTGAGAAATTTCATATCGTATCTGTCTATCCATGTCAGCAATTCGTAGTTGGCTTGACCTAGCGTCTTCCAACTAATGGGATGAAAAATAAAGTGTTTAGTATTCAGACAAGTGGTATGAGAGATTGTTGAATAGTGAATTGTTACCTCGATCCGAAGTGTATTGAGATCATTTTGCAATAGAATACGGTCTTTTTTCAATAGTTGTATTTCGTTGAGACGAAGCTCTGCTAAGCGCATAGCTTCGACATATTTTTCTTCAGAAATCATAGCAGATGTTTCCCGTGATGACTAGACAGTGAGTTGAGATTCAAAAAAATATATCAATACAAGTTCAGGGGTAGTGAGTTGATGCCAATTTCAAATAGAAACAAGTCCAACATACAAGATTATTTGAGTTTATAGTATTTGGATTTGCTACACCATCAAGTATCCCAGTGTGTGTCGAGGCAGACGAATCGCCTGTGCCATTTGAGCCTGTTTCGACGACATTAGCCAGGCCAGATACACCTTGAATTTTTAGACGATCCAGTTTTTTTTCAGTGCGCCTCAACAATGCCTCGGTAGCTTCAAATTTAGCTTCGAGGGATTCTATGTGACCATGTTGTTGTGCAACCTGATACTGTAGCCGAGTGGTTTCGGTTGTCAATGACATGATGCGAGAAAGAGCAGAATCGATATCAGGGGATAGTTTTCCTTTTTTAGATATGATTAAACAGATGTTGTTGAGAAGATGGCTGATGGATAGCCATTGCTGGGTGAGTGAACGTGACCATGTGGATAGTAGAGAATGTGGATGTTTTGAGGGTGATGTTGAGGAAAGTAAATTAAGTTGAAAAAGAAGAGATGATGCTGCCGTTGCAAGTTCCGAATGTGAAGTATCTGACAAAGATGGACCAAGAAGTTCGGGGGATTGAGTGATTGTGACGAGTGTTTGGTGAATCTTGAAGCAAAACAACAACAAAATAAGTAACAAGATGATTTAAGCGAGAATGCATTCAAACACAACAGCGTACCGATTCAACAAATGAAGTGACGGAAGAGATGGCGGATTCTGCAGACAGTGCTCGTGATTCCAAGGCATTCAAACTATCGTTTGCTCTTTGTAACTGTCGTTGATATTCTTCCATCTGAGTCCATATTGCTTTTTTTTGAAAAGCCAGAATTGTAGCCTAATAAAAGTAGAGAGTTTAGAAAAGAGAACAAGTTTAAAAATAAGAACAAGTTTGATCTAGAATGGAATAGACTTGAAATGAAAACAGGATTGTAGATCAATATTCAAAGTTTTGAGCAAAGCATTGAGGTTTGAGACACTAAACAAAACCACAAGAACAAAGATAAAGTCATGAAGATGAACAGCAATAGTTTACAGCAAGGCATGAACTAGACAAGCTTCAACATGAACAGTGCATGAAACTGACCTCTAAAGACTTTGGATCCAAACCATCGTTATCGGGAGAATCAGTAGAAATTGACAAAGCAGAATGAGAAGCAGTAGCAAGAATAGGATGACGAGCAGCAAGTAGGTTAATATTATGAAGCACACCAGGAATAGCAGCAGGAAACGAAGAATGAGAGCCAGCAGCATTTAGTTTCTTGTTGGGATGTGAAGAGTCATTTGAAATCAAAGCATCATGAACAGTGTAATGCGATGATGTTGGACTTGACAGTGGTGCAGGTCGCTTTCGCTCGTTGTCAGCCATGAATAGCACCAACAAGCAGCAATAACTTGTTGAAAACTTGTTGAAAACTGACAAGAAAGTGAAGTTTTGAAGCGTGTTCAAACTTGAACTAAATTGTAATTTCTTGAAATAAATTCAAACTAAAAGTTTTAATAAACTCAAACTTTAGTTTGAGTTTGAATTTTAAAAGTTTTAATAAATTCAAACTTTTAGTTTTAAAAGTTTGAGTTTCTAAAGTTTTAGTTTTTAAAGTTCTAATCAATAAATTCAAACTAAAAGTTTGAATTTAGTTTGAAATTAGATTTAAAAGTCAAGTTTAAACCTAAATTCAAACTTTAGTTTGAATTTAAAAGTTCTAATAAATAGATTCAAACTAAAGTCTGAATCTAGTTTGAATTTCTAAAACTTGAATTCATTTCAAGAATTCAATATTCAAAACTGTTTTTACATTCCATCATCTCACGTGATTCTATACCATTCATTTTAAATTCATTTGAAAATTCAATCTTAACCAATACATCATGAACGGATATTCTGGAAACAAAAAGAACAACACCAAACAATCTTCTTTCTCTCACGAATTGGTCAATCCTGGAAATACAAAGATTTTATTTCATGGTGGATTGTAAGTAATACTCTTATCTTGGATAACTTGCATGGCTCATCTAATTCCTATATATGATCAACTGGTAATAGCTTTGCAGTAGCAGCATGGTTTCTTGCAACTCAAGCCGACATGTTTCATTTTTAAAGAAATAAAAATCAATTCAAAATATTGAATTATTTAGTTCAACATTTGAATAAACTAAAAGTATAAACTTGCATTAAAACACAAGAATGAGTGGATTGATCATCATTTCAACATATTAAAAAGTGAATTGATTTCCACGTGACATTGTACAAATTTGAAATGAATCTTGAAAGCTTTACACAAGAAATCAAGAATATATTAAAACAGTTTCTAAAATGTATTAAACAATTCATGAATTGTATAAACTATAAAAAATGAATTAAAAATGGAAATACGAGACTATTCAACGAGATGCGAATTACTGCAAGAAAGTGTTTTGCGTGAATACGGCAATAAAATTATTAAAATTATTTCAACTATTTGGAAACCATCAAGACTGTTATTGAAACCATTCAAGTTATCAAGACTGTTATTGAGACCATCTGGATTATTAAAACTATTATTAAGACTATTAAAACTACAATGTCTTCATTAATACCCATTCCATCTTTATCTTCTGGTTCACTTGGAATGAGCAACACTACCGGAACTACTGGACAGATACTGGACAACTTCAACTCTAATACAACTGCTCATCAGAAACAGGATGCTCATTATACAAACACCATGTGTCAATTAGACTTAAATCTGGCCAAGTCCAGCGACGACGCCATGTTCATCAAGCCTGCATGTCCAACTCATACTGGATCTACTACTATACCCACCACTCCATTCACTTCCATACCAGCTACTCCTCTAAGGAAACCACATTCTATATCTCACAATCCCATCATTTCTTCCAATGCATTCGGCATGTCCGTCACAACTCCCGCTACACAAACTCTGTTTGCTTCTGAATCTATTCATCCTTCTGCTACTCTCAAACCCTTTGAAGCTCCTGCACCTTATACCACCTCAACTGACGGTGCTTCACTGTTTACTCCTCAGCAAAGACTAGTCAAACCTACATCGGCTGCATTCCATTCTACTGGAGTTTTATCTCGCAAAAGCAGGCGAAACTATGCTTCTCAACCCACGCCCGAAACTCCAATTAAGCAAAGGAAACCCATCAATTCATTCTCGGCTGCTGCTACAACTCGAGCATCTACTTCTTTCTCTGCTAGTCACTTTGCTCTCTCAAACTATAACTCGGGTCAGCTTCCTACTTCCGGATTCAATCCTAACGGATATGCTGCTCATATGGATAGAAACGATCCAAATATACCTCTGCATACTATTCACTCACAACCTACTCAATTCTCTCTTGAAACTACTCCATCTACTCCAGAAACTGCTTCTTCATCAAAAAATATGAATCGTTACGCTAAAATCGGTGGCATGGTTGGATTGCCTTCTATTGGTCCTGCATCTGCATCCATAGCTGGTCGCTCAACTAAATCTTCTGGATGTTTAAATTCAAATCCAACTTTTGCATCCGACACTTCTCCAACTCAGTTCATGCATGGTTCCTTGACACCCTTGATTTACAATCAAGGTACTTCATTGACCGAATACACATTTGGAAACAGTTCCTATCATTCTCCTTCGTTTAAATCTGCAAGCTCTTCTAAAAAACATCGCAGTCCACTACGCGACTCGCCAATCAAATTCAACAAGCGATTGCATCTCTCGGCTCAAGATCTCTCTCCACTAGGAAAAATGGCCCTTCAGAAAAAACAATCTCTTGATGTATCAAAGGAAATACAGCAACAACTTCAACCTCGCGATAGTCATGAACTCAATTCACCGCTTTCTCCTAATTTCGCAAGACTGAGATGGCCATTGCCGCTACTAGACATTCCATCCACATCAATTGCCACCGCTGAATCACCTACTTCTTCTGACAAGTCGTCTAAATCCAATTTCTCTCTTGGTCGAATACAGGATTCGTCTCATAGCTTCACTCCATTCTCTACGCATAGACGTGCCTTGATTCCTTCTCGAGATAAATCTGAACAAGACATGGATGTGTCACCCGTAGCCTGGGCATCAATGGGTGCTTCGTGTTCAAGGCTTGCAAACAATCAAGAGCATATATCCCCTATTGCGAGTAAAAATAGATTTTCATTTGCAAATCTGGTATCTTCATTGGAACAGGATGCATGTGATTTCACCAAGGGATCATCAGCCGACTTTTTTTCATCTACTTTGTCTGAACTGGATGCAGATGAGTACACGGCAAAACTAACTGAAAAGGAAGCCATGGCATGTAAAAGTGGGAAAACGGACTTGACAGATCGATCACGGCACAACAGTGTTGAAAGTGAAAGCTCACCTGTAGACTCCACATTTCATATTTCTGGGCCCGTTCATTCAACCCGTCTGTTACCCGTCCCAGAACATCGCAATGGTGACTCGATTGTTCCTAAAGTAGGTGAGGATCTATCTACTATCCGACCGCTGTTTGAGCCTCACACTATAGCAAAACCGTCACGACTTCCGCGACCCAAATCATCCTTTTCTTTAAGCCAACCTACTGCTTCAAACGAATCGTTGTTTTCATCACATCGTGTACGAAGTAAATCAGTCAACCTGCATCCAGTGCTGCCCATCTCTGTGCTCTTGTCTCCCATTGCAAGCCCATTAAACAAAACATTTTTTGCAGCCATGCATGGTGACTCGGATGCCATCCAATGCATACAAAAACAACAAGACACGGCATTGGCGATGCAGACACAACACAGCGACGCAGATGCAAACAAAACGGAGCTGATGCCCATTGTAGATTATTTGGATAGCCATTTTGTAGTCATTGGCCGTATCGGAGGGGGAACATTTTCTGAAGCTGTAAGAGTGCGCTGTCTTATGGATGAGCGCGAATATGCTGTAAAGAAAACTCGACAGTCTTTTCAGGGACATAAAGATGCGTAAGTGACTCGTATGCTGAATATAGTGTGTATATGTTTCAATGACCCATTTTCTATGTTTTAGATTATTGAAGTTGCATGAGGTGGAGATTTGGTCAAAAATTGGAAACAATCCATGGTGCATATCTTTTGTCAGTTCATGGATTCAACACGGATTTATATATATTCAGATGGAACTATGCGAGACTGGAGAGTAAGTGTGCATGTGATGGCAGTTGTATCAATGCAATAGACTGTTGAATGCTGTTCAATTTGTTTTACGATACTCACTCATTATATTACAGTTTGGCGACTTATTTGGACGATTTTTGTAAAGATGAGCCAATGGATGAACCTCGACTGTGGCGGATACTAGCCGATATTGCTCGTGGACTGGCGCATATTCATCGACAGGGTATAGTTCATTTGGATCTTAAACCAGGAAATATATTTATATCAGCAGATGGCACATTAAAGATTGGCGATTTTGGTATGGCTGCGGTTGCACCCGTACCAAAGGGGGCTGATCGGGAAGGGGACAGATCGTATCTTGCACCTGAAGTGCTGACTGATTCCTCTGTTGGATGTTCAGCAGATATATTCAGGTAACTCCAATTTTTACCACATTTCAACTCACCTTGCCATCTACTCGAATCTAACCTTTTGTACATGTCAAATTAGTCTTGGGTTGATTTTACTGGAAATTGCTGCCAATATCATTTTACCAGAGAATGGTACGGTTTGGCAACACCTTCGAGAAGGTGATTTTACTGATATACAAATGGACCGATCGCCACCCCTGACCGACTTTATCAAAAGTATGATGCATCCCAATCCCAATGTGAGACCAACGATAGAAGATGTACTCCAACATCCAATTCTGGCGTCATTAATTCGACCCATACAAGACACGACACCCTCTTGATACCTTGACCCTACATTCTATACATCCTTTAAACCCAAATTGACGTATACTCTATTTACAACTCCATTCACGTAAAATAAAACGTTTGTATTTATCTTGCTGTCATGATTTCGTTGACTTTTTATCTTTTCTTATTTGGTATACGCAATGTCTTGACCCTAACGACCATGATATGGTACAATGATATTCAAACGCTTGTTTTTGTATGCGGATGCGTTGGAATGTTGGAGTGGATTGAATCCATTCTATTATTGAAACGTGTCGTTGATGTAATGTGACACCATAATGGTATTCCTTTAACATGGATACACTATCAGCATACTATCAGTATATATTGATATCAACTTAAAGATACTTGAAAGAATCATGTCATGAGCGTTTTTTTTGATCAGGAAATATTGGATAGGTAAAAAAGAATGCAACAAGGTGTGACACCTATAGGTCAGGTAGATAAAATTTTGTCTTTGTTATCGAGACGGAATATTTAAAGAAAATAGTATTCGTCCGAGGCTTTAAATGCCTTCCATTCGCTGTCCGTACTCGCGCTTAACAGATGCTTCCTGGGATCGCAGCAGAGCATCTGCTTCAAGTGGAGCATCGTCACTACATCCCATAATACGTAGCAAGTTAGTATACAGTAAACACGACAAATATTTAAAACAATAGAAATCAAGTCAATAGCGGTGTATACTTACGAGCTAAGCTTTTCGGTACGATACTGTTCGTAAAGAATGTCGTGAGTAACTTCTTTAAGATCCTGCAGGTGAGAGCTAAACAATGTATACATTGCAAACATTAGTCGACTGCCGTTATCATCATGCATAGTTGTAAACAGTATCAACTTGCTTGAGTAACATGTAACGAAGCTTTGAAAAATCACAGTGGCGAGGATTATCAACTAACATTAAATCAATCAGTAAGATATTCTAGACCTATACACTGGAAACAAGTGTTTATGCTTACCTTCTACAATACCCCACGGATACTGTCTACAACGCACTCGTCTTCCGGCAACAGTCACCTCAGCCTCGGCACCAATAACGGTAAAGGGTAGTAGCGCCTAAATGAGCAAAACCAGTCAACATACTAATCCAACATGCGAGACAAATAGTTGAAGCAATAAGCTTACGCGCAGCTCGTTGTTTTCCTCGACGGTTTCCTCATCGTCGACTTCAGGGTCAATAGGAAAATCATAAATAGGGATTTTGTAGTGGGCAATATCTTCCATAATCTAAAGCCAGTCGTACCAATAAAAGTCAGCATTGTGATGGGTGCAGTGGGTTGAATAAAGACACGAGTTTGCAAATTATGATACTTGCCCTTCGTTTGAAATCAGCGAGCTCGGGTGGAGTAAGTGAGTCGGCTTTAGCAATGACAGGAATCACATTAGCGCGAGGACTGAGTCGACGCATAAACTCAATATCGACCTCTCTAAGTCTAGATGGTCATGGCAATTTGAATAGACAAAAGGTTAAACAATCTTGAAAACATTTGCAACAGTCAAAGTATTCTTACGAATGGCCAGTGGGTTGGATAAAATACAAGACTGCGTGGATCCGATTATCTAATCACAAATAATATTGGTATGATAAGCAATCAAACCACATTGCTCTTTGACTTCAAGGTTCACATTAACACCACCTTGGGATTTAGGATTTCTCTTGATTCGAGACTCCTCGGCCAAAATCTCGTCATACTGATGTTCAATGTGCTGTAGAATGGCATGGAAGCTATTTTCGTTGTTGATGTTGTCACCAAAACCTGGCGTGTCAATGATTGTCAATGAGAGTTTCATGCCATCCTCCTCCATTTCTATTTTTTAAATTATAAATGTAGTTTTATCAGTGGATGGTTTGCCATTTTATCAAAATGAGAATTTAAACCAAGGCGTATAATTTGATAAAGTATGGCATACCGATAGTAGTAGGATTAATCATGACCGTCTTTTCCATGGCAGCAGTCTCAGCGTCGGGGACTTCACGGGTAGGCAAGACAGGATTTTCACATAATGTGTTTAAAAATGTGGTCTTTCCAACACCAGATGGACCTAAATACACCCAGTGAAATGGCCATGATCAATAGATATCAATTGAATCAGTAAATACAGATGAACGTATTGTTTTTAAAATATGACATGATAGAATTTAAAAACAATAGCATACCAGCAACCATGATGGTGAAACTAAGACCCTTTTTGAGGTTCTTGCGGCGCATGCCCTAGATATAGAATAGAACAGTATCAGATTGGTCTTGAAAGTAGTTGTATTGAAATTTAAAGACTGCACTCTTGTTTTTTGAACAAAACACAAACGTGTAGTGTAGATAAAGTGGAGTTGAATTGACAATGCTAAACCCCAATATCTGGATTATTGTGATTGTACAATGTATGAGTATAGCAAAACAGGAGAAACGGGAGGTTTAAAACTATAGTTTTTAGACCATATGATGGAGATGGATTTTACGTGAATGTGTAATCATAGAATGAGCAAGTACAAGTAGAATGGACTAGGACAAGAGTAGTTGGGTATTGAATGATAATGTGTAGAATGAAACTGCAGATCAAGAATAGTATAACACAACAAGTGCCTATTACTTGACCAATGAAATGCGTGAATTGTTTTACAAGACAGTGATGATCATTTCAATAAAACAGGAATGAGGCGTCCAGTTGATCAGTTCAAGACAGAGAATTTGTTATCACGACATGAACAAGTCTAAACCAAGAAATCAAGTCATATGAATATAAAGCAGTGGAATATATTGAAGCAAATCAACTGAATGGCATTCAAGAAATGTAAATAGCATTCCAGATTGAATCCACACTGTAACGCCTCATTCAAATCTAACGATAAACACAATACTATTCATAACAGTCTTTAGTAAAGTATTGTAAAACAGTACTTTTTAAAGTCATTATACAGAATAGAACAAGACTGTTGTATGAAAGCAAGAGTTGAATGAAATGGCATGAATGTTGTTCAATATTGTTCAATGTTGTTTAGTGTTGTTCAGTGTAAACCTTTAAAGCATTCGTGCACACGCTTTAATGAAAACCTATTATTAGTACAGTATGAATGATGGCTTACAGGAGAGCGCTCTTGAGCAGGACTACGGGACATGATGACAGATATCGTTGATGTTGAAGCTCAAATTGTCAGCAAATAACCCAACACTATATCACGTGTTTTACTCCACAATCAACTCGACACTTTATTCCTTGTCTTGTGGCTGGATCTTGTACGCTGGCTCAAAAGGCAAAAGTTTGCCAAAATAAAAATGTTGAACTACAGGAAACTTGTGAAGAACTTCTGCCATGTACATTTTAAGCATTCCTGAATTCACTTTGGACCACAGCATCACTCCTGATATATCATATAGAATGGGAGAGTGTTCATGAAATGGTCCAGTCTTGACCTAGTTCACATAAATCAGTCGAGAATTTATCAAAACTATTCTACACATGTGTTACCTGATGGATATAATCAATGCATGCAAGATACAGATACTCTTTGGAGAAATGCGTTACAATATCCTTTTGTACAATGGATTTTGGCTTGATTCGCGAGTGGTCTAACAGTTAAAAATAGTGTAATGTCGATTGCATTAGTCAACGTGTCGAGTTGAATCCAACTCGTTTGTGATTACCTAGCAACTGTGAGCTTCCCCAAAAATACGGTAAAAACTGATGATCATCCAGTCCCCATACACCATGACTTCCAGCTGGTTCAAGCATATACACTCGTTGCAATCGACGAACTATCTCTAAATACCTTGAATTCAAAGTTGTCAATGTTAAAGATTCATACAATCATCTCAATAATAAATTATACCTTGTAAACACTCTGAGAACTAATGCTTGATAATCTTTTGAATCAAAAAGATCCAACAGTTCAAGTGAACAGAGCCAGGCAACAAATGCCAGTTCATGACCACTGCCATAATCAATACGAGTTCCATCACCAAATCCATTGGCTAAATACGTTGCAATCTCCACTTTGACAAATGTCAGATTAGATGGTAAGATCTGATCATGCAATGACTCTGCCTCCTAAACAATAGACAGTCATCTTGAAGTTTAAATCCGAATTGACGTATACATTACAATAACCCAAACTTACAGCATGCAGTCGCTTGGCCCAACTACGAAATGCAATGTTTCCAAACCGTTGAGGAGTGACTTCTGGAGGGATTTCGTCAATCCATGAATCCAGCGTATCCAAGATTTGAATAACTTTGAATACATTCTAACTCATCATATTGTCTATTAGAAACAGTAAAACAAGTCTAGTTTATACTGTACATACCTTGGAAATATGACATGAATCGGATATTTTCTTGTTGGCAACACTCTCATTCAAGCACTGAATAAAACACATAATTCTCAAATAAGCCTCCGAGTGAATCCACTGCTGTAGAGATTCCTGGTCAGTGATTCTCTTGGACATGGGTTCAAGAGGATCTGTTAGAGTAGATATCGGATGTAGATAAGATCGTCTTCCAGCAACCCTAGGAATATGAATAGTCGAAGGTTGTCCTGAATGAGTTACAGCAAGTGGAGCTGATCCTGGAGCAGGCATGGTTGGCATAAGTGATTGTGGATTGAACATTTTCAGTAATAACTCGATTGCAGTTGATTTGATAATTGTTAATCTTCACGTCAAACTTGATTAAAATAATCCAATTTTGTGACAATTCTTTTATTAAAAAAACTAAATCTTTACATTTCTATTAAACATGAATTCTTGAACATGTTGAAGAATCCAAGTTTAATAATAACTTGAATCTTGTCAAATATTGTATAAAACTAACTCAACTTGTTTTTATTTTACGTGAATACAAATTTAATTTTCATCAATTAGTTTCACTTTAACCCTTTATTTTCTGGCTCAAGTCTGCCATGGGGTAATTATATGATGAATACTAAAAGTGTTGATTGGTTTTTATTGCAAACACCATGTTTTGTATTGCAGTTGGATTGACTCACATTACTGAATGGCTTGACCTTGAATCCACTCATGACCATCTAATGCATTCAATAAATGACGTTTGACACTTTGATGAATATATTGACTGCTGTAATGTTTCAACTAATTCGATTTCTTTAATGTGCTATTTCATACAAAGTATTCCAGCCTTGTTCAGGTATGTTTTATAAAATGTCAAAACTCTGCATCACAATGCACTCAACTCATGTGTCTTCACTTTCAATTGTGTGTATAGATGGTTATCGACCAAATATCCAAAAGTCACTTCAGAATGTATTGAAGATATTCCTCAGTCTGTAGGAAATACTATTGTTCCTGTGGATACTACTTTACCCAATCCCAATGGCACTGAATACGACAATCTTTATCTTGATATGAATGGTATTATTCATCCATGTTGTCATCCAGAAGACAAACCCGCACCAACAACTGAAGACGAAATGTATATTGAGATCTTCAAATATATTGATCGGATCATGGCCATTATCCGTCCTCGCAAGGTGCTCTACATGGCCATTGGTAACATGTTTTACTTTGTAATTTTTCCTACACTGCTTGAAACTGCTTTCAATGCTTGATGTAGTGAATTCTGCGATCTGAAAGAGTAGGGTTCAGTTCGATAAGACTAAATGCATTCACTGTACTGTAATCAATCGTTAGATGGAGTGGCTCCTCGTGCAAAGATGAATCAACAGCGCTCTCGTCGTTTTCGTGCAGCTCAAGAGGAACAGCAAAAAAAAGATGCCGAGGACCGTATCCGTAAGCAACTTATGGAAGACGGTCATACCCAGGCTGAAACTGTCAAAAAAGCTCATTTTGATTCAAATTGCATTACTCCTGGAACCCCGTTTATGGACCAACTGGCTATTTGCTTGCGATACTACGTTGCTAAAAAATTAAGTGAAGACGCTGGATGGAATGGATTAAAAGTCATCATCTCTGACGCATCGATTCCTGGCGAGGGAGAGCACAAAATCATGGACTATATTCGTCGTCAGCGCAATCAGCCGGGATACGATGCACAAACTCATCATGTACTGTACGGACTCGATGCCGACTTGATCATGTTGGCATTGGCAACACATGAACCTCATTTCAATATTCTACGTGAAGACGTGTTTTTTAAAGATGGCAAGCAGAATGGCTGTTTTATTTGCGGAAAAGTAGGCCACATGGCCTGGCAATGTACTGGGAAAAAGGCAGACAATGCCAATCAAATAGCTGAAAAAACAATTGCTACAGGCGAAAAACCATACATCTTTTTGCATGTCAATGTTCTGCGAGAATATCTAGAAGTAGAGCTGTCTGTGCCCAACTTGTCATTTGAATGGGATTTTGAGCGTGCAATAGACGATTGGGTCTTTTTATGCTTTTTTGTTGGAAATGACTTTTTACCCCATTTACCTTCTCTTGAAATTCGTGAAGGTGCGATTGATCAGTTGATCAAGCTGTGGAAACAGTATCTTGACCAATGGGGTGGTTTTTTGACAGACTCGGGCGATTTGGAGCTTAAGCGTGTCCAAGAACTTATGATTGAACTTGGCAAGGTAGAGGATGCTACTTTTCAAAAGCGAAGAGAGGAAGAGGAACGTCGGCGTCAGAATCGTATAAGGCGCAAGCAGGACACAAAGAATCGTTTGGAAGGTCATGGCCGCAACAATCGTGCTGAATCCCACAAACGGTTTCCTACTGACGAACCAATCGAGATATTGGAGCAGATGACAGACTTGGAAGTATTACCTGTACGTGGAACTGATCCCAAAAAACGTGGGGATTTGAATCGTAAAGCGGTAAAAATAGCTTCTGGAACAAAAAAGGAAAATCTGGCTGCTGCAGAAGTGCTACGTAATCGTCTTGCTGCAAGTAAATCTGCGACCCTTTCTGCAGACAATTCCAGTAAGCCCGATCAAGATGCTGCCGTGGTATCTTCTAAAAAGTCTGCTTCTGGAAAAAAGCGTACTGTAGACGAAGCACAGGCACTATCTGAAAGCGACAAAGGAGATACCAGCACCAAGACTCAATCCACTAGCGATCATTCTTCAAAACGTGTTGCGATGGATGCAACCCTTGATGGTTCAGACAACCCCATCGAGACGGACGAGATGGAGGAAATAGTTGTAGAAAGCACAAGTGTGGCAGCGATCCCTCCCAAACCTGTCTTGGTTCCAGTTCCTGTCGAGGCAGCCACGCCGACAGCTCAAGTTGATTCAGATGATGAAGCGCCAGCAGATGATGTCAGACTCTGGGAATCTGGCTGGAAACAGCGGTACTATCGCACAAAGTTTCAAGTGGAGCTTGACGACACTAGTTTCCGAGAACAAGTCGTCACATCCTATGTTGAAGGACTTTGCTGGGTTCTTAAATACTACTACCAAGGTGTCCAATCGTGGAAATGGTACTACCCATACCACTATGCTCCGTTTTCATCCGATTGTGATTTTATTGGTCGACTGGATATTAAATTTGAACTCGGTACACCATTTCTACCTGTCGAGCAGTTAATGGGAGTGCTACCAGCTGCTAGTATGCAACATATTCCTCCGCCACTAAGACCACTCATGACGGAACCAAGTTCAAACATTATCGACTTTTATCCAGTTGATTTTCCAATTGACTTGAATGGGAAAAAGTACTCTTGGCAAGGAGTTGCGTTGCTGCCGTTTATTGATGAAAATAGGCTTTTGAAGGCGATTGTACCAATATACAATCAGTTTAGTGAAGATGAAAAAAGACGGAATACGCTGGGTCATGAGATTGTTGTTGTAGGTGCAACTCATCCATTGTTTGATGATTTCTGCGGGCTATATGGACACGGTGGACATACCAAGGTAAATTTATATCAAATCATTTGGCTATCATGTTGGTTTCTATGTAAATCTAAAACTCTTGTTTTGACATTTATTTTAGATGGTGCCGTTGGATCCAGTTAGAAGCGACAAGTTTTTTGGCTTTGTTGAGCCGGAAGATACATTTACAGCACCAGGAAGTAGTTTCGAGTCACCGCTTGAAGATTTGGGTATGACCGCTATTGAAAGTAACAACTCTCTTTCGGCAAAATACTTTATGCCTGTGACGCCTGCAGGATACAAGTACCTTGCACGACTGTTGCCCCAAGTACAGTTTCCCAAAAAAGTCTTGGATGAATCCGATCGACATGCTGTTCGTGTAGGATATAATAGCCAGCGGAATGGTCGCCGGGGAGGTAGTGTTCGTATTAACCGCGGAGGTGCACAGAGAGTTACTGGAATGGGGCCTGGCAACAATGGCCACAACGGTGGTGGGTATGCTCATTCACGTGGTGGGTACAATGACCGCAATAGTCATCGTGGTGGATACCAAAATGGGCAACCACATAGAGCTTTGCATGCATCGAATGGATCGAATGGATCGGAACAGCCATATATGGGTGGTGGTGGTTATGGATCTTATTCAGATCATGGTCGTAACCTATCTGGAAACCACGGAGCTGCATACACTCCATCCAACTACTCTTATGGAAACAACCAATATGAATCACAGTCGAATTATTCAAACAATCCTTCTCGAGGTGGACCGCCTTCGTATGGAAACAATGGTAGATCGGGATCATCTAGAGGAGGGTACAGCCATCATCAGCAGCAAGAGCATGGACATGGCCAACACCGAAACCAGTATCAACAGTCAAATTATGGCGGTGGGTATGCTCAGCAGTATCCAGCCTCTGAAGGACAGTTTGGCAACAACCAGCCGCAACAAGGAGCAGCAATTGTAACCAATTTGTTGAACCAACTGTCGGGTGACTCGCATGGTCAACATCGTCCACCGCAACACGAAGGGTATCAAAATTCATGGTCATCGTATGAAGCACCGCACAACCCTGCTTCTCGTGGTGGTCATCATCCTCATTCTGCACAAACTTCACAACATCCAGCAGGCAATATTGGATGGAACCGAAATGTGTCCAATGGACAACGTGGTAGAGGATCTCGTGGTGGTCGTGGATCGCATCGCGGCCAAAGATAGTTTTATGTTCAAAGGATATTTAGTTTTGTTATCATTCCATAATAAATTCTTTATTTTTGATTACGCTATTTCCTATAAAGATCAAACTGGGTTTTGAAGTGTCGTAAACATCTCTTTGAAGCAATGGATTCAAAGTGATATTCTTGATTTCGTATTGCTGAATCTAGTACTTTATGTTTTGCGGCGGGTAAGATGATCGTAAATGACAACCTGAAGATGCTCCTTTGTCAAAATCTGTGTACGACTGGTATTATCACCAGGACGAAACTCCTAAAAACATAGTTTAAAAGCCAATCGACTACAATTTAATTTCCACAGTCCAACACTCGATCCACTTACCCTTGGATCCACATTAATAATCTTTCGATCTCGTTTGTTTTTAAACAACAATCCGTTCTCATTATCAGCAATAACCTGAAAGTTGGGTGTAGCATTACTCGTACATGTTTGAGTTTCCCAATTGTAAAAACTCATATCACTTGGTCTAGGTTGAAAAGTTTTTGTGTGATTGAAATAAGGTTCAAAGTTTTCAATCTTTAACCTATGTGAATAGTCAATGTATCCACTTATTTCTTGGTCCTTGTTGTTTTTTGTTCTAATAAAAATAATTGACTGTAGAATAGGTTGATTGTTTTAGCAAGGGATTGAGATGGATCAAAAGGATTGAATCAAACTTACAGTGAGTTTTCCACTTCGATTGGCTTCTTCACGTTCAGCAAGAGCGTGAAGAAACGGATACTTGCTTTGGTCTTTGCCAAATGAAGAGAGGACATTTGTTGCAAGTCGTTTAGAAAGACGAAAGTTTTCGGCAGCCTTTTTACGAGATTCAAACTCTTCGCGTTTGAGTGGTTCTCCAGATCCTCGATAACCTAATTCAACAAGTTGTCGAGCCAGTTCCTTGTCCTATGTATTTAAACAAAGGTTATAGAAATGAATGGTTGTACAAGAATCTTTTGTAACGACATTCATTAAAAGATGAAAGAATTGGAGTTGGAATACCTCGAGATAAAACATATCCAACGACGTAATTTGACTATCCAAATACTCCTCATAGGTTGCAAACTCAGTGACTGTGCTGTCACCAGCACCATTAACCAGGTCAGAAATTTCGTCTGCCATGACTTGAATAGATAAATGTTTGCAGTCGTTTAGTTTAAAGTGGTCAAAATTCAAAAGTTTATTATTTCCTGATGGTGTGTTGAATGATATCAAGCCATTGTAATAAATTCAATTTGACTGCTTCAATATGCCAGTGTGTATAGAATGCGGCGATCCAGTACCCACACTCTATCTAGACTATGGAAAAGGAAACATCAAACTCGTTCACTGTGTAAGACCACTTATTGTTCTAGTTGACCCTGCATTCAACTGATTAACAACTTCAACTTGACTACACCAAATACATAAAGGAAACATGTCAAACCTTTGCAGACAAATACCTTGAATATGACTTTGTGATTGTATTTATCGATATGCTGTTACATAAGCGGCCAGTGTATCGTCACTTGATTTTCAACAGGCTAGAATACTCGAGCATAGGATATAATGTACGTCAACTGGAATGATTCACTGTTGAGCTACAAGTATTGACATGTAAACTGGCCTTATGAATCCGCATCTAGAGTGGACTAGTCAAGCTTGGGATTCTCTTGGTACTGTTTGAAGTATGTAAGTATGAGCATCCAAGTTGATTTATTTTTACACGAAATCAAACATTAACAGCTTGTATATCTATTACAATGACAATAGATATGAAATGGTTTCGGCTGGATCGCATGAATCGAGCTGTTGCGCCAGATAATGTTGCACTGCATATGCAGTATATATATATGTTGGGTGTATGTACAATGGGTATGTGTTTAAACTTTCAAGATGAATCATCACTGCTTGTCCAGATTCAAGATTCAACACTGACTATCTACAATTAGAAACTGTTTGTTTCCATTTGGGTGTGAGATTGGCTGTTTCTGTACTGTTTCCGGGTAGACTCGTTTTGAAAAAGTAAGATTCTAGAGTAGGTATTTACCCATTTAATTCCGTATCCATCTAACCCAAACCGTTGTGCTGGTGTTTGAATGTCACTAGTTATAATGAGCTTTCCATGTCGCTCATTCTATCGAGTTTTGGTAAAATCCTTCTTATTGTCATGGTCATTTGGGATTATGGCCAATTCGAACCATCAATTCTTGTCAATCTACTTGTTTTTACATCCAACATTGAAGCTCTTGCCGTGTTTCTCAAAACCAGTATACCCATTACAGGGATTGTAATAGGATGTGGCATTGCGTGTAAACTTGCAGTGCAATATTGCATTCAACTACAGGATCCTCATATTGAACTCTCGTTCATTTAAAAACAATCTTTGATCATATTCGTCGATAACATGACAATGGTGAGCGAAATGAAAAGGCAAGACTGCTTGATAAATCACAAGGCTCATTGACAATGATTAAAGGTTGGCAATTTTCCCACTGATATCCTCGGCAATTTTAGCGAGTTCTGGCTGGGAAAGACTGGTAATAGGCCAGTTGATACCAAGTCCAAACTGCTCATCCTTGGGACTAATTTGGTCAATTTAGATTAGCAAATGTTTAGATTCTGTCTAGTTTGAAGCGTATTGACAACTTACATGACATGAAAGTGTACATGATCAACTTGTTTGATGGGTTAATGATTAGAATTTATCAAGCTTATCACCTGGTAGAGATCATGGTTTGAATCTGTTTATTTACCTTCTTGATGGGCAAGTCGACCATTGTTCTAATAATAGATTCCACAAACCAAGCGAGTATGGAATGAGTGCAAATAGATATCAACATTCCAAAATTACAACGACTGAAAACAATACCTGGAGAACATTGTAATTTTCGGCTCCGAGTGCTAAAGCGACCTTTTTGATAGCTGGACCAATAGCAGCTAGAGCATCGTCAGGAACTTGATGGACAAACTGGGCATGATCTGATTCAAGTCAAAAATAATCAGTACTGTAGTTTTACAGCCAAACATGGGTTTGATTAAACTTACATTTGGGAATAACAAGCTATTGCAGCAACGTATTGAGCCAAAACAAATAGCTTAGATTGGCATTGATGTACTTGCAATCAAGAATTCAAAACAATATTCAGCCTGGCACTACTTACAACCTTTAACCATGGAGTTATACAGTATTTGGTTAGCAAACTGGGGTGATACTAGCAGATGGTCGAATAGATTAACAAATAATGAATCAAGATTCTTACATGGCCCTTGCTTAATGGATTGATGTCAAGAAAGGCATAAACAAGCTCATTTTCAAGCACCTTGTAGCTGGGAATGACACCCTATAACAATAAAGTGTGAGTGTATTCTAAGTTGTATATGCATGTCGATATCCATGATTGATTCCAGCATTTTGCTGAGATCGCTGGCAATCATTAAAAAACTTGAACCTTGATAATCTGACGAGTTGTAGATTCAAAGACACAAACCATAATTAGTATGCTGTATTTATCCTATTCAATCAAAGCAGCAATACTTTACCTTGCAAAACAAGCAACTGGCAGACATTTAACTTGGAACAATTCAAGAATTCACAATGGACAACTTGGAATAGAAAAGAATTGGCTTTAACGCGGTTGATGTTTTATCGAATAGAAACCTTCAACTATTCAAGATATTGTCTGTATGAGTAACCGGACGCATTCTTCTGTACGAAAGACTTGTGATTTGACTGGAACTCCTATGAGTGTTTCGTCAAAATCACCAAAACTGCATCAGCAATCGTCTTATTTAACTTCTACTCGCTCTGATAACATTGAACACCTTCGCTCACTCATTGCTTCTCAGATTCGTATCGATGGTAACTTGTATTTTTATTATCTTGAAATACCACTGCTCTGTAATTATAACCAGTCTATCAAATCAAATCTTGAGCATATTATTGTCTTGTAGATTTACAAGCTGCTGTTGCTCCGCTCGCTAAACAGGAATTAAAAAACAACATAAACGGCTCTATTCCAGTATCTGGAGAAGAACGAGAAGCTAAAGTGTGTAATACCATATATATGAATTGTTGTTGATGGCTGTTTAGCATAATGCAGCTTTTATTACTGACGTTTATCCTGTCATGACATGTTTTGAATGCAGATTCGAACTGCCTTGCAATCATCTGGATTAATTGACCGTTTGTCCGACCAGCTGTATGGACGAATTCAGTAAGTGTGTATCAGCTGTTTGAATTGATAATAAAATACACTTGAACAATAATTCTTATTAAACCATGTAGAGCAGAATCTAAAAGTCCTCAAAACTCCATCGCAGAGCCGCCACCAACATCTGGTATTGAAACAAAATCCACTGCAAGCACACATCATGTATCTCCTTGTGTTGCAGATATACCATCCCATAATGTAGCTCCATCGATACTAGAAAAACCATCGTTGGGTTCAATGCGAGCCAAGCGCGGATATAGGTACCTGCATATATTTGTAGAGCGTGGACGAGCATTTATCGGCGATCAAGAAATCGAAGAGGTACTTGTGGAAAATACATACTAAACACTATTAGACTATACACTTGTATTTATTTGTAACTATTATTTGTAGGATCCGACAAGCTTGGTGTCGATCCATTTATCTTTTGGAAACCAGAGATTTGCCACACCATCAGTTATGAGTCGGATGGAGCCACATTTCAATGCCGAGTGCTTATTTGAACTTCCAGTAAGCAGTTGATCAGTGTTTTTATTTTTCATGGGAGTTGTTTGCTAAAACCAATCACATACTCGATTATTTTTTGATTTAGCTTAAAGAACTCAACATCCTTGCCGATTCACCACAACCAATCCATATCGTTGCTATTCGAACCAACGCATCGCAGAAAAGAATCGTGATTGGTGTTTCAACGTTGGACTGGCGCAAGGTGTTGTATTCTGGTACATCAACGCTTGTAGCTGAACTCAAGGAAATCTCTAACCCGGAGATGTCGACCGGTGTGATTGAATGTCGCATTGAATTGTTTCCTGCACAACTCTATCTATTATCGCGCGATGAGGTGCAGTTTCATGTGAGTATTATTCCATGATACTGAACTTGTCCGGTCTTGTGTATCTCGAATGATTTAAATCTCTTTATATAGGTACAACGCGATTTACGTCGTAACTCGGAAGCAAATCGATTGTTTTTTTTATATGCAAAACAGGTCATATCAATCGTATAGCATAATACCAATGTTTTTATGTTGGATATTACAAGGGTGCTTACCATTATTTGAAAATGTCAATACATCACTTTATGAATTATTTAGTGGTGGGCCGATTTTATTCAGATTAGGCCGGGACATATAGATCGATTGGTCAAGATATTTGCACACTCTGAATCTGGAAACAAGGAACCAGTGACCAACTTTGTATCTCCATTAAAGTGTCGATGGATAGAAAGTCCTCGTCATGCAGCCCGTTTTGTATCACTGATTGGACTGAATCAACTACCATCGATTGGAAACGCTGGGTAAGTTTATCTAGCCAAGCATGTTTTTTTAAATCAGTACATTTTGTACTTATAGTGTACACATTCTAGTGGTAAGATGGAAATATGGCAGCAACTGCACACTGTTTTAACAGCCGGACATGGGGATGTGCACGATCATGCACTTTTGTTGTGTAATTTATTTCTAGGTACTTGGATCTCTTTGTAATGATTAATGCATTCAAGATTGGTTTAAAAATGCGCTACTTATCAAAAGGGTTATGTCTGTAGGGTTTTCTCTTGATGCATACGTTGTGCTTGGAACTGATAGAAACAATCTTGCATACGTTTGGGTAGCCACGATTAGCTCAGTTGGAAATGTTTCATTTTGGGAATCGCTTACAGGTGCCGAGTTCAAGCAAGCAGACAATCATCATTTTCGTACTGTTGGCTGCTGTTTCAATGCAGAAAGCTTTTACGCTAATATCCAAGCTTCTGATGCAGCAGATCGAATTGATTTTACATTTTTAGATCAGTCGAAATGGAAAGAAATGTCAAAAGACGCATTGGCCTCGATGAAGCAGTAAGTCATTGTCTTGAAATTGGTTTGAAACCAAGATTTAACTTGCTGCGTATTTTGTGATACAGGATTAGTACTGTAGCATCATTGGTTCAAATCGGTCCATACAGTTTAAACGATCCACACACTCAAGAGGTTGAAATGGAGCTTACATTACAACAATACATTTCACACTATCGTGAAGATCACGGTTTGACTACAATGTGGGACGATGATCTTGCACATCTTCTTGGACAGTCTCTATGGACATGTGAGAATCAGAAATTAATAGGCCAAACGAATGTTGGGTCATTTTCTGATGATTTCCATACAGGAATCAAGAGATCTATTCCAGAAGGACACACCTTCAAGGTATTGTAGATCTAATAGTATTAAAATTAGTTTATTTTCAACCAACATGTGAACATTCCAGGGGTTTCCATGCCAGTTCAACCACTGCCATAGCACAAAAGTGTTTTCGACATTGATTAAAACCAAATCATGCAAAGATATAGCGCTCACTACTGGAGACAAGGTAACGTTGAGTCTGTATGGTTGATAAATAGGCTCAAGTTTGATAGATTGAGACTAAATGGTTTGTATAAAGGTACGATTTTCAGTGCGAGTCAAGATCTTTCCGTATGCCGACACAACAATGGTGTGCTGGGTGATGTTGGGAGTGAGATATCAGTCCATATAGAGTGCATGCACAGAAATGCTCCAAATAAATCTCAACTTAAAGTTGAACTTGTAGATTCAATTTGTGAGACTATTTGAGTCAAAATCTGCTCCAGTTTCTTTTTTTTTTTCTTCCCTTACAAACTTATTTCAGTCTTGTTAAAATGTCTCGTCGTCCTGAAGCTGCTCCTGGAACCAAGGTTTTTGGTACGTTGTTAATATGAATGGTTGTTACTGTTCCTTGCTTGATCCATCTTGTTCCACTCGCTTTTCTCTGGCTATTGTGTACATTTATTGATTTGTCCAGTCTGTTATGGTCTTGTACTATCCACACCATGGCCATGGCACTCTACCCTATCCATGTATATGTCCTTGTAAGAAATCTATGGTACATAGAGGGATAGTGATGTATTGGCTGTATCAAGCTATACCTTTGCCTTGGATGGATGGGTGATGGATGGATCTGTTTCTAGGATTAGAGCAAACTCTGTCTTGTCGATACTTTTCCTATCTCCTCATGGTTTGCCTTTTATTGTCTGCCAGTGACTGTTTGAAGAATGGTGCGTTTAGGATTCACTGTACTTTTGAATCCTATGTCTTTATGAGACTCCAAGACTATCGAGCGTTTTTTGCTTATAGTATGGTTCGTTTTCCTTTTATTGTCTTGACCATCTACGCTAGTCTCCACCTTACTTTTGCTGTGTCCATACATATCACCTGTTTTTGCCGGCAGGCTAATCCTCGCATTGGGTGATTTTCACCAATGGGATTTGTCTGAACTCGAAACTATTTTTGTTTGCTTTTTTTGTAATTAATCTCGGGTCCCCTACTGTTACTAATCATCCACTTTTACTATCTTTGCTGTGTATTACTGAATTGGAAACAAATTCGACTTTTGATCATCTTGACTCGTACAGTTGGTAACCTCTCATGGGGAACTGACAACAACTCTCTCGCTGATGCATTCAGCCAATTTGGTGAAGTTGTTGACTCTATCGTTCTCAAGGATCGTGAGACTGGCCGTTCCCGTGGATTTGGCTTTGTCACCTTTTCTTCTCCCGAATCTGCCAGTGCTGCTGTAGATGCCATGAACGGCCAAGACCTTAACGGACGCAACATCCGTGTCAATCTTGCCAACGAGCGTCCCGCTTACGGTGGTGGTGCCCAGGAAGGTGGCTTCAATGGTGGTTATTAAACACTGATCGTTTTTGACGCTTCATGATGTGTGTTTCTGCGTGCCCTTCCGTTTTCTGATCTTTGTCTACCTATAAAAGCTTGTTTGCGTCTGGTCTTGTCGCTATGTCCCTTTTCCTCTTTAAACCACCCATTCACACTATTTGCATTAACCTGCCTACCCCGAAATTACTTAGTCATGGCCTTTTTCCTCTACCCATATACATGTATCTCACTTTGATCGTTAATATGTTTATGAAAGCTATACTTTTGAAAAAAAATCTTGTTATTATTTAATTATCTGCTTGTGTACTGAATATTTATTGGCGTATTCAACGAGATGCAGTCTTTAACTGGTTTGCCTTTTGCATGTCGATGTACAGACGGTCCTTGGTTTATGGATACAAGATTTGTTGTCGATACCTTTTAGTCTATACGAGGTAAGATACACTAAGCAAATAGTCACGATTTATCAATTCATATGGTTAGTTTACCCAACGCTGCACTATATCATTGCAACACTCTTGACTGCATTGTTTCAGTCAATATCTACTCGATGGTTTAATCTTTAAAACTCGAGTCGGGCTGATTAAACTCGGACTACCATTGGATAGGGTGATACATCAAGTAACATTCAATGACATTATTTCACACGACTGTAGTATTTTCAATTGTCAGTGAGCTGCCCTGTCTTGACCTCGGTCACTCTATTTCCCTCCATATCAAGCCTTTGCAACAGCTGATTCAGTCCAAAGTGTTGTCAATCAGTTGATTTGATTGAGCGAGGATATTGACTCTGGAGCAATACATGGTCAAGTGTTGCAATAATATAGTACAACACTGAATAAACTATCCATATGAATTGATAAATATGTACTATTTAGTGTGCACTACTGTGCAGTTATCCTATATCAATCATTAGATAATGTGACCAAGTGTATGTATCTATATGTTAATGGATACTTTTAGGTTCAGTGTTTTGCTTTTGAATCCATATCTGGTATCTGATCCATACAGCTCTACACATGGCATCTCTAACTGAAATGACAGTGTATTGAATATTCCTGTAATGGATACAATTGATGTACAGCAATATATCCAACCACATGGTTGTCTGATACATGACAAGATCACTACCACAACACATGCTGTATCTGCTTTAGACTACTTGATCTAATCTTTGAATAAAAAGTATAACCATAATGTGCACCAACTTTGTAAACCAAATGATCCATGTCAAAAAAGTTGTCCATCATTATACATTCATGTTTTGGGTTTATTATTCAATACTCTACCATTGACTTATTTGTGAATCTATATCGAGTTGGTGTATTGGATACAGCTGATATAAACAAGATTGATTGAATGATTACAACATGGAGTATATCTTGCCTAGTCAACTCGATTTGAATCAGTCGTGTATACTGATTGTTGACGACCATAAAGATTCAAGTCGAGATTTGATCCAAAACATCCAAAACGAGATCAGATTGTTAATTTAGCAAAAACTACAGCACTCAGTATTCCCGTGTGGTCCCCCACCACAGTACTGACTGAGCCATCACAAGCTTGACTTCGGAGATCGAACGGGATCCGGTATTTTCTTGTGTGTATGGCCGTAGATGTTGATTAAAACCAATTATACGATAATATTCGTTAGGTGTGTTTGTCAAATGCATTGTGATTTGGTGTCGTCACTCGTGAATCAATACTGCATGACAATCTCATCACCAATGGTCATGAACTTGATAAATGTAATCAAAATCATTCTCATCATCACGGTACATTTTTTTGATTCCAGCTGTAATGTCCAAAAACTCAATCTAAGAGTGTTTTGTGTAATAGTTGGCTCATGACTGCAAATATATCGTGTATGTTGCAACTACTCACATCGTCCATGATCGACTGATTCATAACTAGTACCATATATCACAAGCCAATAGATTAGCATTGTTGACCAAATACGACTGACACCAACTCGCTCATACTGCAATACAATTTGTGCTTGAATACTACCTAGACTGCGCTTTTAAAGCATCATCATGATTAGAAATGGTACAATATAATTGCACAATGCCTGAAACGTCAAGTTTGTCCAAAATCGAAAATGAGCAACTCCAATGCCTGACTGCAGCAATACACAATGGCACAATGACACCCCAAAACCGAGCCCATGCTAGTGTTTAATATTGAACATGATTACATTCGATTGATAGTTTAGCGTAAAATCAATTTCAAGACTGTAATCCAATGACAGGATCACTCAGATTTGGATATTTGACGATACATTTACAAATCCAACAATTGACTGATCAGTAATGATTGATATTGCAATGATGGTTTGCAACTCGGTAACAATTGAGTTGTATTGACCAACATTCCAAATGGAATCTAAACATGTGTGTATACACGATCTGACAGGTTTTGAGTGGTTATTTAATGGTTGTGTAATCAGGTCAGTTGTGTATACGAGTCTGATATGATCGTGTCAAGTCGAGACAATGGTCGCATTACAATCAAGCTCCATCTGAACATTGAATATTGAATATTGCAATGTCGAGTAAAAGACTTGACCCGAGTCACTATATGAATGGTGTAATGTATTGAACTGTTGGATTGTCACTCAACCAGCCACTGATACAAGTGAATGCATGTCAAATCAGTACAATTTGACAGGTGTAATTTCATACAAATGCTTAATTTGATACTATTCAGAGTATGAATCTGAATACTTTTACAATATCAAATCGAGTTTTGGATTTAAAGTCGAATTTTGGCGTTTGTTTTCTTTCACAAACTACAAACTAGAATGGAAGACATTTTATATCAAATACCTCAACAACTAACCAGTACCTAATGAAACCCATGTCAATGGGGACTTGGATAGGAAAAGACCACTTGACAATGTTTCCAATCTGGCTACGGCTTTTTTCTTCAAAAAATCCTCTTACTCTTGACCAAACACTTTCTGCTCTGTGGTGGACAAATCAGCCATTTTTTGGGAATGAAGGTCGGAAACACATTCCCAGAAATGGCTGGTCCATCAATACATTGTGGAAAGTGTATTGGTCAAGAGTAAAGGTGCTTGTCAAAAAGATTGCAGTTAAATTTGAAACATTGTCGAGTGGCCTTCTTCTATCCAAGTCTCCATTAAAGTTAGTTTTAATAGGCACTGGTTGGTTGTTGAGGTATTTAATGTAAAATGTCCTGTTTTTCATTGTAGTTTGTGGAAAACAAACGGCAAAACTCGATTTGATATTGTAAAAGTATTCAGATTCATACTCTGAATAGTATCAAATTAAGCATTTTTGTATGAAATTACACCTGTCAAATTGTACTGATTTGACATGCATTCACTTGTATCAGTGGCTGGTTGAGTGACAATCCAACAGTTCAATACATTACACCATTCATATAGTGACTCGGGTCAAGTCTTTTACTCGACATTGCAATATTCAATGCTCAATGTTCAGATTAAAGCCGAGTCAATTTGACAGTTTCTATTGAGAAAATGGTATCAAGTGCCTGTTATATACCATTGCTGGTGATCAGTGTTGTATGTGTAGAGTAATATCAGCATCGACATTAAACAGCTGGAAATATTGTATTCCATCACAATATATCGTGTACTAGAACATGGATCAGCATGCTGTACCAATGAATTGTAGATGCGATGATAATGATCCATAATCAGGATGGCAATTTGACACTACCTGATTGCTGGATACATCACTGCAATTGGATATATCAATGTAGTATACTACCGAGGTTGATTTTTTATTAATAACGATGCTCGTATATTGATTCACTATATAGAGTGTTTTTGTATTTGATTTATTCTACATGGTGTATTTGTGATTTATGAATATCCATTTGGAGATCGCTGATTGTCACCCTTGAAGCTGCCGTCGTTATAAAACAGCAATCATGTATCAGATTCAAAATATTTTCATTACATTACTCGATACAATGTTGATTATTCTAGAATGCGTTCTACTTGCGTTACAAGCGGTTGCTGCAGTTCGACTTGCATTAAAATCACCAAATGGAACTAACAGTCAATCAAGTAATAGGCCATCAAAACGATCACCCCTTGAATTGGGTGGTGATGCTAACAAATGCTACACAATCAAATCCAATGTTCATGGAGTTGATGTATGTATCATGCCATGTATTGTAATGTGTGTGATATGTTCAAGCCATGCATGTATTGGATCAGTTGAGTGTGTATCGTAGTTGTTTGGTACACGATGATCACGCATACTATTGTATTGGTAATACATGGTATGGATTGAATCCATCACTGTATATCTGGATGATCATGTTGATACTGGATGCGCGATATCAACTGCTGGAATATAGTATACTGCTGCAAATACCATGATTATCACATTCCATTGGTGTGTGATCATATTGCACCAATCGACCAGTATACGATCACTGCATACATCAACATGTGCATAATGACCATATTGTTGGCATTGTATATTCAACATGTGATATTTGACACACGACAAAGTTGACACTGCGACTGATGTGTATGATCAGTCAGGCTATTGATGCAACCATTTTGACACCACAATCAACGAGCCAAACCAGTCAAATTGGTCAGATTTGATATCAACACATGATTATTGTTGATATTGGTGTTGCATGTCAGCATCATCAATGTGTACAACTATGCAATATACAATCAACTGTATTGTATTGGAAATACAAGTGTCAATGTACAATATGATATCATGTCAACCAAGACTGAAATGATCAGATATAATGCATGTAGATCCAATGTCCAATATCAAATGGCAATTATATTTTATTCAAACAAAAATACAACGAATCCGGTTGAAATCAGTCCAGATTAGCATTCAAATCAACGGTTCGCAATCTTCACTTTGAGATCGATCCAAGAGTGATCTAAACTTATTTATAAGATTGCAAGAAGCTTTTTGTAGACTGGAGGAAGCTCTCTGTAAACTGTGTGACACTCTAGAGGATGCTTGAGTGGAATGGGCTATAGACGTCTTTTCAGATGGAGATTGATCACTAGGGCCTTGTTGTGATGAGCTCTGGGTTCTACTAGTAGAGGCATGCATGGATTTTGATAATGGGCTCGGTATGTCAGTGAAGAATTGGTTGAAACAATCCATAAAGATGGGCTCTTCTTCGAGGTACATCGTGTATAAACTGGCTGGTTGAAAATTCGAATGGTCCCAAATGGTGTGTCTTATGAGTCTTCTTTTGGACACACGCAGCTTACTGCGCAAATCAAGAAGCTCGTTGCGGCATACTTTCTCCTGTTTTTCGAGATATGCAAGAGTTTTACGCTCTTTTCCAAGTTTTAAAACAGTTTCATCATAGCTTAACCTAGTTCTTAACGGGCATCTAGATTCCAGAAGCTCGAGTCTTTTACTCAGTCGTTGTATCAACTCTGTTTGAACAGAAATCGATCTTGCTATCGATTTGCACATTTCCTTTGTTGTGTCGATGCAGCGTTTGTTTGTTGCGTATGCTTTGATCAACTTCTTGGCTTTTCTTGAATATTTACCGCAGTCAACCGAATCTACATCTAAATCAGCAACCGTTGAAGGGCTAGATTCAGCACTTGTAGTTGCACTGGGAATAACGGAATTAGCGATAGTAACTGAACAGACAGCCAATATCAATGACAGTATGGTGATTGAGAATTTCATTTCACTGGTTTGATTGAACAGGTTGTAGTGTCGGTAGATAGTATTAAAAGCATGTCCTTTCAATGGCCGTTTTAAGGGATTAGTACTATTGTCAGGGTTGGTAACAATTTGTTACTATCAATGTCCAATTTTGAAGGGATATTCCTTTACAGCCGTATTTATGTATAATGAAACATTAAACTAGAACGTATTTGATATTAGAATAGAGTTTCAATAAAAGAAATAATCCATCTCAAATAACATCGAATATGTAACGATTGTTTATTCTGGAGCAGAATAGTCTGTCCAAGATCAAGTGTCGTTTTGGGTGAATATTTGTGTAAATATAGTCGACATTTTACACAATATTTTGTAATTTGTGATCAGTTTTCCACAAAAATGACAAACTTTGGGTGAAGCTCAAGTCAGACAATGCTACTCAAGTCCTTACAAAAGACTGCACAAACGTCAACGACCTTATTAAACAAGTAAAGAAGGAGATTATCAATATATTTGACTCTTACGACACTGACCAAATCTTACTCTCTTTAACTGATGCTGGAACTGGGCCGTATGGTTGCAAAGCTTTTCCACCATCAGTCAACGAGAGTGAGAGTTGGTCAGTGTCGTAAGAGTCAAGTCTGTTGTTGCCCCAACTCAAGGCACTTTTTTTGGTACTAAAGGTCTAGCATTCGAGGGTTATCACCCCAGTTTTCAGCCAACACTTGTTCATAGTCCTTTGGTCGGTAAAATGCTTTCAGTTTTCATCAATCAAAACAAGCCGATAAAGAAATACCTTGCATCTGTTGGCGGCTCTTTTACAACCCCAGTGGGAAATACTTTTACTCCTATTGACCTATCTACACTTGGCCTGAAATTGGAGCAGTTGATGTTTTGCAAGAGTATCACAGTAAGACCTTTAAAAATATCGAGGTGTGAAGCAATATTACAACTGTAATGTCTGAATAACAGTAACTATTTCCAGTGATGCTGATTTGTAAACACTCGAACTATTCAACAACACTCTATCAATGCATTTGCAAGAGTCATTGGACGTATCTGTTGTTTGAATGTTGATTCGCATACATTCAGAAGTGGAAGTTATAAAGCTTATTACCACACAGACACGATCAATGTATTACTTTTTGTTGGATAGACTGTATCATCTGTCATCAATTCAGACACACTTGTCAGTCCTGTTCCGTATACAATGAGTCACATATGGACACATATGGACACCAATGCAACAATCAAGAATCAATTGTCATTTACAAGTCCGAATTGCCAACCAACAATCGTACTAATGGACCAACGGACCAATGCCAAAACACCTGCACATCAGACAGTTTATTGGACATGACTTGATTGTTCTTGAAAACTGTTTGATGACTCGAGTAATCCAATCACACATTGCTGGCAATTAAATCGAACTATACAATGTGTCATGTATACATTGGATACTATCAGTTTACCAGTGACTATCTGGTGTTTGTTTATGCATGATTACTTGGACTACTATTTGCAATCAATGCAATCACTGGTGTCAATGACCGATAACAATGAAACCAAACGATTGACCACATCAGATTATGCACGTTCATTCTGGAATGTAACTTTGCATCGATATCGTAAATATCAACCAGAATCCGAGCCAAACGAGTCAAGCGAGTGTTGCAAACTTGCATTCATTTGAAAATACTCGATATCAGGCTAAAGTTGCATGTGAAATGGTCATTTGTACAAGGTTAAACAACATTGACATTTACAATCAATGTGATGTTGGAACAGAGCTGCTATTTCCGAATTTAAAAGTCCAAATTGTACACATTGTTATCAAGTCTAATCTACACCCTTCATGCCATGTCATACCATGTCATGCTTGATAGTTTTATACACTGCTACAAGAGTTGTATTGTGTGTATTTCGAGTATTTCCATCACTCCATCACACTGTATTGGCTCAAACAACTCGAACAGATTGTCATAATCTGACATGATTCCAAAATAATTGCAATCGGTTATATTTGACATGATCGGATCATTGTAAACCATTTGATTTCAGTAATTCAAGATTAAACAAGCCAATGTTACTTTTTCCAAATTTGAATCAGCATGTTGTTGTAATATCGTCAATATTGTGAGCAACCCTGAGCAGACACTTGGACATTCAGTATCAAGTGATATTGGATACTTTCAAATATGTATCCGGTGATAAATAAGCGGTGATGTGTTTGAAATCAATTTACCATTACAAACCATTGTGTATTTACCAATACACTTGATGGTATCAATGACCACTAATGGATTCAACTTGCATTCTGAATGAGCCATCATGTGGTAACCCAATTGTTTAGTATTGGTTGTTATTTGATAATGTCACATTTTGTGTCCTGCCATGAGATTGATTTCATCTGAACATTTGACAACCGTGCAAGAAACATTGATTGAACTCGTACAGTTTCATATGCAAGTGCATCAGTAGTGTATCGACCAACGAGACCAATTTTGTTGGTTGATACTCGTTGATATTCACTGATACTCACTGATAGCTTGATGAAAATGTGTCAAACCATGACTTTTATGACAACACTGTACAAACTGTACGAGTTTAAAAGACTATTGGTGGATGTTGTCCAACTCTGATGATATTACTCATTGACGGGTGATTGATGAATATCTTGTATCAAACTACCATGCAAATCAAGCACATCTCACAAGCAAATGGGTTACAAAGTTGAATGTTTGGAGATGCGAATTTCAACTTTCGGAAACACTGAAATGGACAGCATCATCAAGTGTAACAATAACTACCAAATGATTTCAAACAGGTCATTTGCATCCAAAAACACTCTGTCATACTTGTCACCCAATACCTCGCAATACCTCACAGTACATCCATGGACCAGTTCTTGACAGCATTCGATGCTGAACTGGAAATGAATGCATTTACCCAGAGTAACCCAGAATACATACAAGAACGCAACGGAAAACTAGCTGATATGCTTCGATATTGTTTTAAAATCAAGCAAACGATTTGATCAGACATTACAATTGAAAGTCCAGTTGGATTTGGAAATTACAATATCGGATGGTACACATGAATTGGAATCTTTATCCTGTAATGGCTTTTGTTTGATGAAACTAGTTATTTGATAACTTTATAATCAACGGAAAATAAAAGTTTATCGAGGTAAATTCGTACTAGAGACATTTGGAGTGGTTTACGGGCTATTGATAAAAGACTGCTGAATGACATGGTGTACAAGACAAAGTTGACACTGCGACTGATGTGTATGATCAGTCAGGTTATTGATGCAACCATTTTGACACCACAATCAGCGAGTCAAACCAGTCAAATTGGTCAGATCTGATATCAACACACATGGCTATTGTTGGTATTGGTGTTGCATGTCAGCATCATCAATGTGTACAACTATGCAATATACAATCAACTGTATTGTATTGGAAATGCAAGTGTCAATGTACAATATGATATCATGCCAACCAAAACTGGAATAATCAGATACAATATTAAATGTCAGATGGCGATTGTATTTTATTCAAATCAATTGGATGGATCGTCATTTCTGAGTCACTGAAAGAGTGATCCAAATCCATTCATAAGCTTGGAAACCTCTTTCCGTTTATTGCAGGGAACTCTGGATTCCCTGGATACAGATGATGATTACGAACCTTTATGTTGTTGCTGTTCCCTAGAGATTTGATCAAGAAGCTCCTGGTATTTTACTGATAGTTGTTCAAGGTACGTATTAACGGAAGGATGTGTGATGATAAGACTAGATTGCTGATCAAGCGATTCAAGATCCCAAGATTCTCCGAAAACGGACTCCACAAGCAGTATTTTGATGTGATCCAGTCCAATTGTAAAAATACTATACTTGGACTTACACAACCTGTAGCTTTGTTTAAGATCGGCAAGTTTGAGTTCTTGGATTTTAGTATCACGCATATTATCCCAAATCTCATTACCATGTTTTCGATTGCCACCGTCTCTTAGAGATCTATGTTTCACAACATGAAGCTTTCTCTTTGCGTGCTTTACCATTGTCTCTTGATCCTTGTATTGAGATTTTAATAGCTCACATTTTTTTACTTGCTCTTCAAAACCAACATGTTTTCTATGGTAACTTTTGAGCAATTCCTTGATGCTATCTGAAAGTGGATCAAGACTATCTAAACCTATACCGTTTGGATTAGGAGTTGGCAAAGTGCTAGCTTCAACATCTGTAGTTGCACTGGGAATGACGGTTGAAGTGATAGTTTCGATATCTGTAGTTTCACTGGGATCGATTGGATTGGCAATAGTAACTGAGCATGCAAGCAGGATCGATGACAATACAGCAACTGCGAGTTTCATTTTACTGGTTTGGTTGAGCAAGTTTTAATGTCATTCAACGGGCCAGTTTTTGAACTGTATTTATATCATTATCGAGTGATAATAGTAAAAGCATATCCCTTGAATGACCGTTTTAAGGGCTAGTGTTGTGATCAATTTCAAGCTTTGAAGAGATCCTCCTTTATATGTTGACCTGTAACCTTGGCTAAGCCGCTATTCGATCATACACTCGAATATCGTATGATTAATTATAAAGCTTCACTCTGAAAAGGGTTAGGGTCAAGGGTTAGGGTTAAGAAATGAGTATAAACTGAGACTGCAGAGTTGACACTCGGATATTAGTTGGTCATCAATATGTGCCGTGATATCCCATGCTTGTTAAAATAGCAAGTGATTGGCATGATTCAACGTACAAGTAGTGTATAATGAGCATCGGATGATACTGTTTTACTTGAACAAGAGTGCTAAATCCGTTGAAATAAATATAATTTAGTCGTCTATTTCTGTACTACATTTTACACCCTCATTGTTACACAACATCAAATGTTTGGCATTGCTCTAAAAGCTACTGGTAATACTGAAATGGAGACTGATGATGCTACTTTCCACAAACAATCAGACTCTGACAGTAATGATTCAAGCACAATCAAGTATAATCTGAATGTGGATTCGCTTTGTTCTGGTACTGTGATTGGATTTGGAGCAACTGGTCAAGTCATTCGACTCAATGACTGCAACATTGTTGTCAAACATTGTGATTCATACAACAATCTTGATGCATTCAAAATGCTAATCAAATATCAATTTACGAAAAGCTCGCCAAACTCAATCTAGAATATGTTGCACGCTATTATGGAGAATATGAGTATTACGGACAGTATTTCACTTGATTGGTTTGGACTTTATTCCTGGAAAACATTGACTGGAGAACAGACAGTAAGTTGAATTGTGTTATTCGACACTTGTAATCGGTTGGTGTAGTTCATGAGGACTTGAGACCAGGAAACATGATTTAAACTGGCCAAGGGAATATCAAATTGATCGACTTTGGCAAGACACAGATCAAGACTTGCGTCACGAATTGATGGTTTATCAATCAAGCAGAATCCAAGACTTGTTCAAGACTTGTCCAGTAAAAACACAATCATACTGACCTTTTATTGACTACCCATTGACTACTCACAAAATCAAATGTTTGCAAATCTGATGTTCAAGCCTTTTGATTTCTGATATGAGTTTCATTCCCCTTGAACAGTTTAAATTCAACGTCATGCTCATTCATATTCCATACATATGACAGACACGTCAACAATGCTAATGGCAACTTTATGAATATCAAAATGGATTGTTTTGAACAAGCTGGTCAACTTTTTTGTTGCTTCAGTTGCAGGCTTTACATCCAAACTATTGTAATGTTTCAACAACTCGGACAGGTTTTTACAATTGTATTGCACTGTAGCATGATCAGTGTTTTTAATATTAGTTTTTGATAAATCATTGTAAACCCATGTGTTTGCAGGGATTGGTGAATGTTTAGTAGTTTAATCAAACCATATTTTTGATGGTTTAATGTAGGATACTTTTTCCAGATGCGAGTGTATGTTTTGGGTTATTGTGTGAGCAAACATGTCTATTGAACATTCTGCATCAAATGATTTCAAATATTTGTTAGTAGTATATATTGGGCACCAAATGATACCAGTTTTATCAACCAGTGTTTACAGCCAAACTATGTCCAAAGTTGCCAAAAATATCAAATTATCGGAGATGAGGAAAATTGTCAAAATCTTTAAAATAAAGTACCGGCTTGTTTATTAGTTTGAAATTTCAGGATCTTTTTGTGCCAGATTCATACTCTCTGCTTTAACTAGAATACAATGTCTTTATGATAGACGACGACAGTTACAAATTAATCGCACCATCCCTTTATGAAAACAACTTTGACTTTATCCAACTCTTCACCGAGTCTCCAACCAAAATCTGTTAACATGCCTGGTACCGATGGTTCGGCTACCTTGAAAGTTGAGCGTTTCTTTTGGTCAGCAACAAAGATAATTTCCAAGCATGTAATTTCAAACGATTGAGGCGATTGGCATAGCATCAGCAAAAAACTGTATAAATACTTGATTTTGAATGAATGTGTGTTGCCATCAGTTACTTGAACGAATCTAACCAACCCTTTTCCTTTATCCAAGAAAATAGCATCAAATCCTCCTTGGTTCCATTTGTTTGGCTTGAACCAAACACCATTATTTTCTGGTAGAGCAGGAAAAGCATTGATATCCAGAGTTTTGAAGTTGGATGCTGGCCAAGTTTGAAATTCGTTATCGTTTTCGTCAAACAATTTTACTCCGTCGTAATAAAGACTGGCAAAGAACCACATTTCCAACATCCAACCATCCATAGAAGGATTTCCATCATGCCGAGTAGCTTTGGCCAATTTACGAATCAGGTCTGGTCCTGCCTTGATGGCAACTATTACGAACCGACAGATGACGATAATTTTGCAGCAATTGATTCACTCAGTCAACAGGGAATGTTTCAATTTACAGATGATGATGAACATCCAATTCGCGAAGTTGATATTCTTACAAAACTGTGCAATTTGTATGATGAACCCAAACTTTATTTTGTGGTTCCGCCTCACCAGTTTGAAGGGTTCAAGCAGCTTCACAATACCTGTTTTGCAGCAATTGGTTTAATATGACTGGCTTCATATGCAACACAATATTGAATTCAATGTTGTTTTGTATTTGCAACAATTGAAACTACACCACTAGAATCATTCATGTCAGGATTTTATATTGATACTAATGCTGACAGAGATTTGTACAATACATACAAACCCAGTCAATCACCAGCATCTACTGTACCACAAACACCTGTGGTCATGCATGCATATCCCTCTCAGTCCACTACCACTTGATTTCTCCAGTTTGTCCAATCTATTCAGTCCAATGTCAAATTGCATCGTCTTGATCACTTCTGCAATGCTGATGGTGACTGGATTACACAATCTGTGTCGGGTATTTCATCCATGTCATTGGGTGATGAACAGCCATTGGTTCGTCAATCAAGACAAACTGGTCAGTCTGTTCAACAACAGTCGCTACAACCAAAACCTCATTCGCCTATTGTGCAACAGAATTCAAGTTTGTATCAGTTCGAGTCGGGAATCCTTGAAAACCTGTTGCATGATGTTGATACTATGAATGATACTGTCAGAGTTGGACGCCATGCAAAACAATCGTTTATGTCGAGTCAAGCCTGCGACTCGGATTCCTTGTGTGATGATGACAGCCAAACCGATACTGACAGTGAATACTCCGAGTCCATACACAGCAATGACTCGGATATATCCGTTGATGGATACATTGATGCTGTAAATGATCGCACTGCAACAGTGTTTGATATTGATCAAGAGTCGAGGTATTTGCAAGGCACACTCAGCAACAGTCCTTTGACTTGGTCAAATGGATCACCTAGACGCATGTGGAGAAAGTCATGCGATAGTCAATCCGAAACCAGCAGTGATGAAATTGATACTATTGAATCCATGAATACGCATGCAAACAGTCAATTGATGCTAGATCGTCATGCAGAATTCCGATTTCAGCAGATCCTGAATGGTGATTTCACACAACCATCCAGATCTGTATCTGCTGAGCAAACCTCCAAAATATCCAAATCAGCACTCAAAACACAACGCAAAAACGATCGTCGCAAAGCCAAACAACATGTAAAAAGCCACCATCATGACTTGACTGCTCAAGGTCGTACTTTTGACGCTCAGCTCTCCAATAGCCGCAACCCAACACAGTTCAATGCAGTCATTAAACTATTTCTGCACTCCATCAACAAAATGGTCCATGACTTTGTTGTGGCTAAACCGCAGTATGGACAACTGTCACTTCCACCCATGATGAGTGATGTACGTAAATTTGCAGTGATCCTTGTCAAGCGGTATCAAATGCGTCCAAAGACAATGGGCAAAGCAAGATCAAAGTATATCGAGGCTTATACAACACGAACAACGTGCGTGCCTGAATCGTGGCGGACAATACCAAATGAGATCATGCGTGAAAAACTGTTCGAGATTGGCGAGATTGCTGACCGATTTACTGGCTCAGTTGTCAAACTCCATGTTGCTAGAAAACCCAGAATGTCGCCAGACAGCAAAATGAAACGGTCGCACAAAACCGGTATGAAAAAAGACCCACATCACAAACATACTGTTGTTAAACAAGGTCATGTTGTGGGTGAATCTAGCCAACCGATTGGAAATGAAAACGTTGGTCATAAAATGTTGCATGCTATGGGATGGAATCCAGGACAGTCGCTGGGCACAGGAAACAAAGGCATTGTTGATCCTGTCAAGGTTGTTATACGAACTGAGCGTAGTGGTCTTGGTGCAGAATGAATTCAGAATGAGTTCAGAATGAATGCAAAGTTTAAATGTGTTTAAACTCGAGTGATACTGATTTGTTATGTTCGATTGCATCTAGACTTGAATGCTGCAGTTTTCCAAACTATTGATGCACTTGCATATTGTTTGCACGATTCTGGCCATGTAATGCATGTTTGTTTTGGATACTTTTAAACAGCATTCGGGTATACAACTGTGCTGTTGTGTGTATTTTTGATATATTTGAATTCAATTCAGTAGCATTAATATTGTAGTTTATTTATCTTGACCCATTATCATATTACGAATGGCCATTTCAACCTTGGCTTTGGGTGTAATATCAATAGCACAACAACCAGCATGTTCAGCAGCAGTTCCATGCAAACCATCATCACTAGACGAATCGTGTCTTGCTCTTAGTATATCTGATGGTGCAACAAAACTCACCAGTAAAAACGTGTAGATTTCTAAACCATACATCATGGGAGAAAAGAACCAGGCTGTATAGGCTACAAATGGCTCACCCGTATAGGCTGAATGTACAGCAAACCCTGCCATTGTAATATTAAGGACAAAAATAACGACAAAACGGAACCCTTCATACTTTAAAAACAACTGCTTGATGAATTCGGATCTGTGCACGCCAGTGCCTTTACTGATTGTCCAAAGAAATATGAGTGATGAAGTTGCCGATATGATACCTTCAAATATGCATTTGATTGCAAAAAGCAGACTAGAGTACTGAATGGGAAACAGGTAAAAATCATGTCAGAAAGTTAAACCCAACACTTGAATTCAATATACTCGAGTCGATTCAAATATACATGTGTGCTTACATGAAGTAATGCACTTTTTGAAATAATGACAGCTTGTCCTCTGATGAGCTCAAGATACGATAATATGCCAAATGCACCAGTGAGTGCTGACACGCAAAACGTGGCAACTATTCCAGCTGTTATAATCCAAAAAACAGGCGTTCCTTTGTGGAATACTCGAAGTCGAGCAACCATCAAAATAAGCTATTGCCAATCATACACATCATACAGATTCATGCAATCAGTCAACCAAAATACTGTACCATTCAAGCACGTCTGTTCAAACAAATAAGCTTACCACGCCAGTACTTGTCAAAAACGTCAGCAAATATCCAGAAGCAGCCAACCACTCGACCCAGTTTTCAACAGTGGTTTCCGGTGAAATGGACTGATCAATCAACAATGTGTGCACATAAATCTGGCCAGCACAAACTATCAATGAGACCAGCGCTATGAGGTCGATGGCAGTATGAAGTGGTCTACGTCGTGTAGCAATAAAAAATAACGCAGAGATGACTTGATGAAAAGCAATTCCCATAAATATGGCTGATGGAGTCTGGTATGCATTGTATAATCCAGCCATTACTTTGATTAAACATCGCCTTGATACTGAGCAAATGATCGATTCTGTTGTACAAACGGGTTATTAGCAGTGAATGAGTAATCAACTAGACTGTTTACAATGTAATCAAACTAAATACATACAATACTACCAATCTATGCAAGAAACATGTATCAACCAAAATAACAGACGTTTCTAAAACCAACCCGTGATAAAGGACGGATTGGGCTGTCATATATATGGTTGCATATCTACCAAACAGATACATACCGTACCATTATGCATGATATTATCCTGTTATAGTTCAGTTATATCTCTTGTTCATTGACGTATAGTGACATATTTATGTAGTATAAGTTTGAAGGAAGATCACAGAGATGTAAGACAAGAAGAAGGAATGAATCAGAATAGTCGTGATTGTTTATTGATAAGAGAACTTTGTCTCTTATATATAGTAAGTAGTAGTGGTGAATTAGTGGCGGTATAAGCGTCACTCCTAAGCTTCACCGTTAAGGGTTCCCAAGCGTTACAGTCTTTGTATAGAGTGAGGCAACGGTCATCACCATATCTAAGCATTGTATAGCTTACTTGTTTATACAATGCTTGTTACTAGACCCCATCCTGACTGTCTGGGTCCTATTACAAATGTCATACATTACCAATGTCTAACACCCCTCCACGTCGAGAACACTCTCGAAGACCGAGCAGGTTGACGAATTGTTCGAAGGCGGGTCTTGGTAATCCCTTTGTCAGAATATCAGCTACTTGATCCTTAGTACCGATGTACTCTGGTTTGATCAGTCCCTGGCTGATTCTGTCTCGTAATGCATTAATCTTAATGCCTATATGTTTGGTTGCCTCGTGTACGACGGATGGTCCAATCATGTTTGATATCGCCGATTGCGAATCACAGTATAACGTTGTTGGTCCATCTTGTTCGAAACCTAACTCTCCAAGTAGATCGCGCAGAAACAATAATTCTCGCGATGCTGATTCGGCAGCAGTATATTCGGCTTCCATAGTAGATACGGCCACACACGTCTGTTTTGATGACCTCCACGATACAAGTGCATTGCCTACATAACATAAATATCCAGACGTAGACTTCCTGGTCTTTACGTCTCCAGCCCAATCGGCATCTGAGTAACCACTCAATGATGCGTTGGTTCCTCCTAGTTCTAGTGCGTAACTTAACGTTCCTTGCACGTAGTGTAGTATGAGCTTGACTGCATTCCATAGATCTGCATCACTCGAAACTATAGCCTGTTGCCATGTTTCTGGCACAATGTTCCTCGATGATCCGTTCGATATAACTGCCACTGCATTATTCGACTCATCGGCATTACTGGTACCACTCCCGTGAGTGTACGAGTAGTATTGATCTGACTCTTCCAGATCACTGTCATCTTGACTTGTAATGGTTGGCAAATCCTCAACCATTCTCTGTTCCACCGCAGCCTGTATGCTCGGCTCAGACGCGTCATCAACCTCTGATATCGCTCCTGGATATTCAACTGTGACCGTCGATTCTGTGGGAGCAGCCATCGTGGCTCTGTCCCTGTTCATAACGTCAACTGGACGTTCCTGAACTGCTTTCCTCGAACCTTGAGATTTCGATCTCGGTTTCTGGTTCGGTTTCCTATAACCGGCTAGACTCGACTCATTTAGCGATGTCTTGATAGCCTTATTCCTGCTGATGCCACGCCCTAATAACTCCTCCTGAGTTATGCGTTCATCGCTTGTTGTGACCTCGGTCCCGCGATCTGCTACAGTCATCCTCGCTGTATTCATTGCAGTCGGTACTACTCTTGGTACTTGTCGGCGACCTGGTTCTGACTCCCCTCCAATTGGCGTACTTGCACAATCTGGATTTCCTGGAGTTTCTGGTGTTTTTGGACTTACCACATTATCTATCACAATAGGTACAGACGGTGTAACACCACCGCGTAAATTGTAGCTATGAGTAAATAATGGTGCCTCTTCGTACAGTGTCATTGCTGGTACGGTATTGTTCCGACGAACGGGATTAGAGAGTGAAGGAAACTCCTCTTCAGCAAAGTCTACATCCCTGCTTGTTATCATCTTTTTGCTTTCAAGGTCAAACAGCTTGTATGCCTTGGCCTGTGAGTGATAACCGATAAATATGCACCTTCTAGTGCGTGTGTCCAATTTAGTCAGCAGTTGCTTTGGTCTGAGTGCATACGCTGCACATCCGAACGTCCTGAGGTGCATCACCTTTGGCAGCTCTCCTGTCCATAGCTCGTATGGCGTTCTTTGGCTTAGCGCCTTGTTAGGAGACCGATTCTGTAGATACACTGCAGTCATCGCTGCCTCTGCCCAGAATTCTCGACCAAGCTTGCAACCGGCAAACATAGCGCGTACAGCGCTAACTATTGTCCGATTCTTGCGTTCGGCAACTCCATTTTGCTGTGGAGTATAAGGCGTCGTTCTCTGTACTGCAATTCCTTTAAGCTTCAGGAACTGTTGGAACGCACTGGAGGTAAACTCCCCTCCATTATCGGTTCGGATCGCTCGAACCGGTAAGCCTTTACTTAATTCGACAGCGGCAACATGTTCCTTGAACCGCTGGAACGTTTGATCTTTTGAGATCATTGGATACAGGTGGGAATACCTCGAGTAATCATCTACTATGATCAGGTAATATTTATATCCACCTAGAGCCGTGTCATGAAACGGCCCTTCTAGATCCATGTGTAGCAACACATTGACTTGAGTCGCCACATGTGTACTTCTTTTCGGGAACGGGTGTCGAACGGCCTTGCCTTCGATACATGCCACGCACTGAGACCTTTCTTTGGTCTTTCCCGGTATAATATCAAGACCTTCCGATTTGTCGGCCAAGTTCTTGATCGCTTCGACATTTATATGCCCCAGTCTTTTATGCCAGCCAGCAGTGTCTGTGGGCTTTCTAAATACTTCTGACGCGTGATTAGCTGTTGCAATTACTGTAGCATGAGCCATTGCACGTTCCTCATCAGATATTATAGCCTCGCAGTTTACTGCGTTTACGCCTCCGTCTCTACGGGTAGTCATGATAACCTCGCCATTTGACTTTCTTATTGTTCTGACCTTTTTGAAAATACTGATCCGACATCCTTTGTCTTCGAGTATATTTTCAGAGATAAGGTTGACTCCGAAAGTTGGCACCACTAGAACATTACCCAGTTGAATGGAAACAGTCCTGTGACCTACATTGCACAGGATTTCCACTGTTCCAGTACCGATGACATTGTGCATATCTTGTCCTGATGCCTTGACCTGTCGGTTGCTGCACGGTACAAAATCATACACCCATTCAGGTCGGCATACCATATGGCTGGAGGCTCCCGAGTCCAATATGAACATATCACTCCTATCGATGGAGCTACATGCCTCGTCAATTACAACGTCCCTTTTCTTGTCATCCATTGCTACAAACATTCCGTCTGCCGATTGATTATTCCTTGATCGGTTTTGGTTGTTTGATCGTGGCCCTTTGGAGAAGAATTTCGGTGACGATTGTCGGTAATTGTCGTTCCTTGGAACTGGTCGACAGTCCTTTGCATAGTGGCCTATATTACCACAATTATGGCATGCGGGCATTCTGTCTTGATCGTCGTTTCTTTGTTCATAGGGTCGACGTCCCTGATCTCTACGATAATAATTATCCATCTCATGGTTTGCTGCAAAATAGTCATCCCGACTAGAGTTGCCTTGCTTTGCGCCGTGTGCATTTGGCCCATGTGATGTTGAACCTTTCCGTAGGTTCCTATGATTTCTAGACGCATAGTTCGCCTCGTATATGGTATCATCTACACCGTGCCTCGGTAGTGCACCCATGTTGATGAGTTTAATTTCCTCCTCGATGAGTTCCGACAGGAATTTGTTGGGGCTTAACATTTCGTCGGTCCATCGCACTGTATGTCCTTCGAAATAGCGCCATTCTCTGCTCTTGGAAACAAGTTTTGCCATCACCCTTGATGCAAACACTTTCTCACCCCAAAATATATTTGCCGCTGCAATCTTATGACGTAGACTCGTCATAGTGTTGTACAGTTCCTCGACTCCCTTCCTGGGATCGTACTGCAGATTTGCCATGGCTTCCTCTGATCGCGTCAGCGATCTTTTACAGTAGTCAACATAATGGTTCTTGAGTCCGACCCAGATTTTCCTGGCGTCAAGCTGTACTCCATTACTGTCACAGAGCATAAACTTGAATTTACTGCTCACTGTTGCCTGCAAGATTCCTCTTGCCTTGAATTCCTTTAATTTGTAGTCGCGCTCGATCTTTTCTGGAAGTTCACCTATGATGTGAGATTCCCATAGATCCAGAGTTTCGAAGGCGGCCTCCATTTGGTTTGCCCATACAGTGTAATTGTCCTGGGTCAATACCGTAATAATAAGACCTTCAGCGATCTTGACCTGCTGTGAGCCTGGGCTCATAACCTCTTGTTCATTGACGTATAGTGACATATTTATGTAGTATAAGTTTGAAGGAAGATCACAGAGATGTAAGACAAGAAGAAGGAATGAATCAGAATAGTCGTGATTGTTTATTGATAAGAGAACTTTGTCTCTTATATATAGTAAGTAGTAGTGGTGAATTAGTGGCGGTATAAGCGTCACTCCTAAGCTTCACCGTTAAGGGTTCCCAAGCGTTACAGTCTTTGTATAGAGTGAGGCAACGGTCATCACCATATCTAAGCATTGTATAGCTTACTTGTTTATACAATGCTTGTTACTAGACCCCATCCTGACTGTCTGGGTCCTATTACAAATGTCATACATTACCAATGTCTAACAATATCCACAACATTGTGTCTAGTACACATCCAACCCTCAACGCGCCAGAATAAAATTGAAACCACTTGCCAATAGATTCATGGCGCTGTACTAGCGTATACGCTTGGTCTGATGGTGACTAGTTGTATGCCAAACATGAGAGCATCTGGAAGTCAGCCCTAGATGTTGTGCACATTTGGTGAATACAAGTACAGTTGGATATCACGGATAGCAACAATCGACATGACAGTGGACACTATTGGACATGTACACTGCAATGTGACTGTCAGCAACCATCACCATCAGTGTGTATCATGTGTTTAAAAAGTACTCGCGTGCATTGGATTCAACACCACGTTTGTGATCGGGTTTGATCTGGATTGTATTGTGGTGTTGTTTTGCATATATCAGTAGATTGTGTGCTGATTTGAATGGCATGATCATACATTGTGGTTCATGTACACGATGACAATCTGACCTGTTGACACGGCCAGTTTGTTGAACGACCTGCCAATCTCCAATTCAATTATAGTACAATGTTACTCATTCGGTGTATCGATAACAGATTGCCGAGTTTGATGTTGATCATGTTGTGACACAATCAGCAGTGTTTGATGTATACAGTCTACATTAACCTAAAATTACTGTGCAGTCATACCAATGGAAAAGTCATGGTTTTGAAATACTGCAATAACAGGCTGTTTGATGCTGTTGTGTCCGAGTGATCCAAAACATGACCAATTGAACAATCAGTCAAATATTTGGTATACAGTGACAGTATATGCTGTAGTAATGGATTGTAAATGTGATGATAACTATCCATAATCAGGGTGACAATCTGATACTATCTGATCACTGGATACATCACCACAATTGGAGATGAACACAGTATACTACTGAGGTTGATTATACACCAACAGCGATGCTTGTATATTGATTCACCCTACAGGGTGTTTCCAGCTTTGTCCACCCTGCATAGTGTATTTGTGTTTTCTGATCATTCATTTGGAGATTGCTGGTTGTCACCCTTGAAACTGCCGTCATTATAAAACAGTCATGCACCAAACTCAAACCATTCTCATCACACTACTCGATACAATGTTGATTACTCTAGAATGCATTCTATTTGCGTTGCAAGCGGTTGCTGCAGTTCGACTTGCATTAGAATCACCTTTTGAAAGTGCCAGTCAATCAAACAATAGGCTGTCAAAACGATCACCCGTTGTGTTGGGTGGTGGTGATAGGAAATGTTACAGAATGAAATCCAATGTTAATGGAATCAATGTATGTATCATGCCATGCATTGTAGTTTGATATCAGTTTGTACCACGTTGAATCAATCTCATACTTGTTTAAAATAGTTGAATTTACGAGTCGAATCAGCATTTTCTGATATAATCGTACCACTTCCTAGTTCAAGCAACAATATAGGCTTGGCTATACAAAGTGTTTCAAGTGGTGACCCCGTTACTATAAAGTACAAAGGCGATGAGTATAAAGGAATTAGCTCCAAAGCCGTTGTGACGATTCCAGGTACTAGGATAACTGACAGCAAATTACCAGTGATAGCAGTTAAAAAACAATCGCCAGATTTAATTGGCATCAGTCCAAATCTTGATGGAGTATTTGGGATTGGCTATTCCTCGTTGTCAAAACATCATCCACCAGCCACTGCGATGGATATTTTGTACAATGGCAATACCATTCCCAATAACGAGGTTGGTCTTCAACTATGTCCGTATGACATGATTTCAAATAGCTTCATCAATATAGGAAACACGGATATAACTGCAAAATGCGGAACGAATGGAAGGAGTGTTGCATGGGTAGACTCACCATCAGACGGTTACTTTAGTGTCAACATCAAGAGTATACTAATCAATGGCGAACAAGTGGATCTGCCTGCTGAATTCCAAAAGCGTATATTAAAGAATGGATATGCTTTGTACTCGCGTGTGGAAACATGTTTTACATTTATGCAATTTCCTGAAAGAGTCGTGGCTACGTTGATTGATGTTATTGTTGGTAGCAATGCGATCATTTTCAAAAAAAAAAAGCTTAGTGACAAGCTCAACAAAGAAATGGTTAAAAGGAAATTGCGGAAAAATCGTCCAATCTTCAAATCCAACTACAATATTGATTGGAGCAAGCTGCCGACGGTTTCAATCGTGATGTTTTCTCAAAACCCCGTAACTGATGAAAACCGCAACTCTGTTGTAACGATCAAACTGGGTCCCAAAGACTACATACAGATAATTGATTCTAAACATGGTAAATATTTGACAATTGTATGCAATATGTGTTGTTTGATTGACTTGACTAATATACATGTTGGATTATAGTTAGATTTACTGTAAAAGTTGGTTCAAGTGATCATGCAATTCTTGGTATATCATTTATGACCCGACTTCTATTGACATTTGATCGAGCACATAAACGCATTGGGTTTGCTCCTGGATGTGGATGCGAAACTGCGACTGATGGTTATCCTATTATTTCAAACAGTGATCAAGTACTCTGGTCACCATCACAGTAAGCTGTTTGATATTGATGTGTGGGTGTGTCAATTGATATACTGATCATGAATTTGATGAATACTGTTAGACTGCCTGAACAACCAAGTACTTCAAGTTCAAGTGGCAGATCTGGTCTCAGGAGATCATTGTTGCGACTTGGTAGTACTCTCCGTGATAATATTCGTCGTGGTAGTAAGCGGTCAAAAGCAAATTACGAGAAACTTGAGGACTAAACATATAGTAATAAAACTGGTTATTTGTTGAATAGATGATGACCCTGATTATTTATAGTTGATATGGTGTACGTCAGGACTCTTGATTTCAATCATCAACAACTACAACTGATCAAGTAGTTGTGCCTGAAAACACCCACCACACTGTCAAAAGTCGCACAATAACTCTCAATAAACTCGACTGAATACAATTCATTAGTGACAAACTGCTACTATATTTATTTCTAATGTGGTGTGTCCATGTTTGATTGTGTGATATGTTCAAGCCGTGTATGTATTGGATCAGTCCAGTGTGTATCGTAGTTGTTTGATACACGATGATCACGCATACTATTATATTGGTAATACATGGTATTGATTGAATACACATCATGATCGCATATCTCAGTCACGATCCAATTGACACAAACAGTCGAGTCGTGTAGTTTGGGTTCAGCTTGACACATTTGTATTGTCAATCTCGGACAGAACATCAAAAGTGAATCAAGATCAACTGAAACAACCAACAGACTGGATCCAGTATGTGTAGTCACACTGGGTTGCATATACTGATCACAGTAAACAACTCGAGTGTCATTTTACTGATTGTGGTTATGGGAACATGCCAGTGTTTGATACATGCAGCGTTACAATGATGGGTCAGCAACAATGCGATGGAACTGGATGTGCAATATCAAAACCATGTCCAGAATACGTGATATAACGACAACTTGCAGCCATATTGATGTAAATGGACCACTAAATAACAGTGTTGGTGTGTGATAAACAGTTGCATTACTGACATGTGTCATGATTGTTGTTGAACTAGATTGCAATCGTATCCGTGATTCAGAATACAATAAATGTGTGTACAGAGTTGTATTGACAACCTTGAAAGTCCAACACAATACATGAATGTGGGTTCAAACTTGGTGACCATACAATGTATGATTACTAAAAGTGCACAAAGTGTAGATTCAACATTATAGTCTGATTGTGTGTCATAGGGTTGTTGTATATCAAACAAGCAATGCAGTCAATGTGTAGTAGCCATTGTATGTTGCAATGCAGAATACAGTCATTGCAGAATGAATACCGAAGGAATCCATTTGACACGAATACGGTTATAAAAAGGAGCGTTTGCAGTTACACAACACACTCCTGAAGGGTGGTTTCCAAGACATCTGATAAAAGGGTCGTGGAAGCACAATATGATATTGTGATTAGGGAGCAGCATATTGTGGTTTGATAGTTGCTCACTACAAGCAATCAAGTAACCCTGTGTTGGTTAACTTGAAAGGGTTGGTTTGCTATACAAAACATATAAATACAATCGATTGAGTTCAACTTTATAATCGACACCAGTCTCAACACTCTACTTTTGTATTAATCGTTTAGACCCATCGACTAATCTGATGAAATTGGTTGATATTTTATTCGTATTGACTGCTGCAGCAACCGCCAATGCAATACTGATCCCGACTGATAACGATGGTTTACCCCAAGCATCAAGCACTTCCAGTCAAGTGTCCGTTTCAACCAGTGAACCTAATCCAGGCACTTCCAATGAATACCAGGAAGAACCAGTGGATTTAAGCCTTTCCAACCGGATCCGACAACGGCCAATGGATCAACCCGGTCTAAATACTCTCACTCAAAGTCAACGACCAACTGTGATTGTAGCTGGTCCAAATATTCTCAAACAAGGCCGAAAACGCATAATGGATGTGATTGATTTAACCACATCCGACCAAGACCAACAACAACCAACAGATGTAGCTGGTCCAAGTACTTCCAAACAAAGTCGGAAACGGCCAATCAATGAAATCAGTCCAAGCATTTCTAGCCAAGCGTCTGGCTCAACTAATGAACCCGGTCCAAGTGCTCCAAAACAAAGTCGGAAACAACCGATTGATCAACCCATTCCAAGCACTTCCAGTCAAGACCAACAACAACCAATTGGACAAGGCGAGTCTGCTAATACTGTTACAAATCAAATAGCTGGATTAAGCCAAAAATTTCAGAGAACCTTTAATCGTATAAAGCAAGGGCTTGTAGAGTCGAAAGAATTACGAAAGAAAAAACTCAAAGAATATTGTGATTATGAAGTCCTTAGATTCGAACAATGGTCAGCGCTAGAAAGGGGAGAAGAAATATCAGGATCAGAGTACAATCCAGACACTGAAAAGCGATTGAAACAAGAGTATAGAGATGCAGGAGCAAGAGTGTGGGAGTTAAGGCATCAATTGAAAAAGTTTATGAAAAGGCGTGGTTTGAGATTCGAAGAACCGGACTCGGATTGATGATGTGTCGATCAATTTGATTTTGAATAAATTTAAGCTTTTTGATGTGTTGGTGTTTGTCGAGTATTGTGAATGGATCAACAACCATATCATTGATTACATACTGTGTTGGGTATTACATCGACAGTTATTGGGTTGTTGATTGATACATTGACATGGTTTGTTCCATATACATCAATGACCTGATAACAACCAGTGTTATTTGTAACTATCAGTCGGACTTGCAATCACTTGTCAGTTGCATGGTTGCATGATACCATCAACTGACCATGTCATGCATTGTACAACAAACGGAGCAATACACTTGTTCAAAGTCTGTCACAAGCAAAATGTGCTTGCCATGTCACTGTCAATGTTGGAAATCACAACATACAATGTTTGATTGAAGGATTCAACACCCCATTACAAAACATCATTGCATTTTATCAATAATATACTAAAACTAACCAATACGTTAATGTCTTGCAACATATTGTGTTTGACTACAATCACATCCATCATTGTGCAGTTGGTGATATTGCTGAATCAAGATATGAAAGTGATCCATCAAGTGGTTCAATTAAAACAAACACTGCAAACCATTCAATCAATGTTGGAAATTGTGTTGGAATACTGAATGGACAAACCTTTGAGTAAAATACAAGTCAATATACAGTAATGCTGTGTATACTGTGGTTAGTGGAAATGATTACTCGTATCCAATTTCAGATGATGATCAAATGATTCAGACTTGCAAGTATTATGAATTTGAACACATCCAAATTGCTGAAACGTTTGTTACTGAATCTAGAAACCCAGATCCAACAATCACAAATAAGCAGTGTCAAAACAGAAATCAATTGGATGCATTATCAACAATTAGTGAATATGAAAACAACAAAACATATGACATATGACAGGACATTTCAAACAACTTGTTTTCTAGAGCAACTATAAATGCCATTCATTGACTTGATCAAAAACTACAACAATTACTTGCAATGTATCAAAATTTGACATCCATATCCAGTTCAACAACAGGAAGCGTCAAACAAGTGGTATCATGATTACTATTCACAACAACAAGCAAATCGGACAACAGCGCTGTCGCAACTATTATGCTTCAAACTCGGAATCAGAAACGATGCAACTGAAAAGAGTACACAAAGTCGACGAGTATAGTTTATTGAATCATTCAACATCAATATCGTGTACTTGAAAATCAATGACATTGATTCCACCATCTACCAGAAACATGTTTGTTGCGGTGTGTTATTTGATGTGAATTTTGCACCAGTATGTTCATGTCTGATACAATTCATGGCTGTTATTGGACTTTGTACGACTGAACCATTGTTCAAATGTGATGATGTTTATGCCACTGTTGTAAATCGAATGGGTGTATATTGAAATACACGATATTGTTGTAATATATTGTAGTATGTCTTGTATGCAAAGTACGACAATCTCTCGAGTTTGAATTCATTGTAAATCTACACCAGAAATTCATCAAACTGAACCTTTTAGTATTTTTGCTTGCTTGAAATAGCTCCAGCAAACAAACAAGCGTTTATGCAATGCACACTGTGTATGCTACACCAACAACATCATTGATGGTCAATACACACAAGTATTGTTGATGTACACTTTGAGTTCCAAGACTGTATTTTTTGTAGCGGGAAAGTCGTTGAAAAGCTGCACATTGAGTTGAACTGTTTTGAGTTCCACTTTAAACTTTTGATTAGCAATCGGTTCATACTTTTGACAAGCTCATGTATGAATGATGGTTTATCAGTGTTTTTATCAAGACACGGTAAATTGGTTCATGATCAATGATTTGAGTTGGTTACAATGTTACTGCATTCATGACATTGAGTGCATCTGAAACAGCAACATCATCACTTGATTCGAGTTTCAAACGATAATTATTGACTGTGTTGGTCAAACTGCAGATTCACTGCTATCAGATTCAGACTCTGTAGCAAGACTTTCTGTGTGATGAAACAGCATCTGAAACTGCACCAATCGTTTGATTTCCAATAATATGAGCATCGTCCATAATAATATCATCAGCGGTTTGTGGTTCAGCATTTACCATTATACGAATCCAGTGAATATGTTGATTGTAGGTTTGTAAACAGAGGCTACAAGCCAGCAGTGACATCATTTGCAGACTTTTGACTTTGAAAGCATTCATAATTTCTGATATGTTACTATCATACAGCAAGGCACATTGCAGTTGCTCAATTTGTCGACTTTTATTGGCAACCTATTATGTATCAGCCACAAATCTGATATTGCAGACTTGTAGATGCTTAAAAATGGGGTTTCAAATTGACTTTTGAATTTGAGGATCGTGAACATATGATGGCATATTGATGGTTGTCATTATTGTCAAGTGTGTTGCAGTTGATTGAAGATTTGAAGGAATGAATCAATATTCGATTGTGTTGTTTATTAACAAGTGAGTGAGTGTGTTTATAAAATGGAAGAAACCAAGAAAGTCATGTGAATTCCAGTTCAAACGTCATTGTTGGTTTTTGATTGTTAAACTATTCAGAAATGTCTCACATTCACACACTACTAATGTCTCACATTCACACACTACTAATGTCTCACACAATGCAAGTCAACACTCTCACACTAGTAATGTCTCACATTAATGAGACATTAATTCTGGTGTAAATTTGACTAATTTCCAAATATTTAAATCGTGTGAATTGTCTTGAAATATCCCAAAATTTTGTTATTTTGACTCGATTAAAAAGTCGATTTTTGTTTTACAATTTGACAAATAAATTGCTTTTTTACTCTTTTTTCTTTTCATAAAATGCCAAAACGATACCTCGATGTTGAATATGGCACACTTACTGCTGAAATCAATGTGACTGACTTTGAAGACCTGAGTGACGTTCAGGATGCTATCAAGGCAAAGTATGGTCCTGCTATGGCTGACATTGATGCTCCTCAACTGCAACTCTACACCAACAGTAACAAGGACCAACTAATCAACACCTGGGCTTTACTCGACTCTCTTCCTCAATAATACTTTACTCAAAATGGTTCTTGTGTTGTTATTGGTTGTTTACCTCTACCTCCAAGACAACCTACTCAAACTTACCTAGGTTCAACATCTGCAGCAGCCTCACCCGCACTACTGGATTTTTGGACTGTTTTCACAAACTACCCTAACCCTCTTGAAGGAAACACTGTTGTCCAACTTCCAGCAGACGTATTCATTCTTGGAAAAGATTCAATTGGATCATCCATTTACATCCGTCCTTGTTATCCTAAACTTTTTGAAAAATCACTATCTATTGTGCAATCTGCTGATATACGTCATTTGATCATCCTTGGAAATCTTGGAATTGGCAAGACATATTTTGGTTACTTTTTGTTGTTGCATCTTGCTCGCTCTGGTGCTACAGTCGTGTATGAGAGTGGAGCCGATCAAAAACGATATTTGCTTACTCCCAATGGTGTACTCGAAGGAGGAAAGGATGCTTTTTGGAAAATCTTGGATTCCTCGTCAACATTCTACATTGTTGATGGCTCGGCACCTGTTGATGTTGATGCCAAGACCATTCTTGTTACTTTACCTCGTTGGGAAATTTGGTACCAGTTTTGCAAGAATTCCTGCGACATTCGGTATATGCCAGTGTGGTCAAAAGAAGAATTGCATTCTTGTCGCTCAATGCTGTTTCTTACAGCTCCAAAAGAATTGGTTGAAAGTCTGTATTTGAAGTGGGGAGGAATTGCTCGTTATGTTCTTAAATATGCATTGGTAAAAGAAAAACAGAATTTTCTCGACAAAGCTTTAAATATTTCCAATATCGATTCAGTTGTCAAGTCTTTTGGTAAATATGGTGAAAACCTAGACGCTTCAAGTTGTTTGATTCATAGATCAGTCAGTGATGGCTTCCACAGTGGTCCTTATCAGTTTGTTTCTGACTATGTGGTTGATGAAATTTACAACCGTGTCTATGCCAGAGACCGAGATCATCTTATCAGATTCGTTTCTGTCACTCGAGAAATTGGTGGAACTGGTCAACTTAATAGGGCATTGTTTGAAAAGCACGCTCATACAGTCATCGCTAAAGGTGGTTCATTCAAGATTCGTGATTTACGTACCAAGCTGGAGTCTACACTTCAACTGCCAATGGATCTTAGTACTTTGTTATTCTCCAACAATTCTCAAGTTCAAAACGCAACGAATTGCTATTTCCGTCCCATTAGCAATACTTTTGAATCTGTTGATTCGTTCATCAAGCCAAATCTTGTTAAAGATTTTGATTATCGCGCAAGAAGTATAGAGATAGAAAATAGAGAAAGAGACTGAGTCTTTCAATTAGTAAAGTATAAGGTAATAATATATAATCTGCCGCTGTAGAAAAGATCGGTCAGAAGAGATCTTGAATGATAATCAGGAAGTAGTCACGCAAATGAAAGTCAACAGAATAAAGAGTTAAACTTAATAGATAATAACGAAGTTATGTCAGATGATATTTAGAAGATTGATTCAGAGGATGGTTTATTTAGTAAGAAAGTATCTTGGCTTTTATAGTAATTTAGTTAAGGGAGTGAGTGGAGAAAGTGGAGATATAATATCTCCACTTTAAGCTTTGTTTGTAAAGCGGCAATGTTTGATTGCTTCAACAAAGGTCTGATTTCTTTAACAAAAATAACACTTGTTGATCTGGCAGGTCAATGAGTGACACTCTAACCATTAATACCAAACAAACAACGTTTTGAATCAACAATCAACTGTCATGACAATGGGTAACATTCGTGGTCATTTGGCATTCATCTCAAACCATCACATCAAACACATTTCCAAAATCGATTGCTGGACAACTCAACTCGGTGCACGAGTCCGTATTACTGTGTCAGAGTTGTTAAACATTGGTAATGTGAAATATCATAAATAACGAGATATTTCAGACTCATACACGACGCATATATGTTTGAGGCGATGTCTATCGCAGCCATCACTTGTGCAATAACAAGAGACTTTCTCAGCTATGACGTCTAATTCACGGATACGCATAACCGTTATCCACATTCTTATAAAATGATCAATGTTTTCTTTTATCAATAAACAACACAATTAACTCATTGGTTCATTCCTTCATTCTCATCTTTTACTTTTGATATTCCTCCAAAACTATACTACATTAATATGTTGTCATACGTCCAAGAGCAACAGTATTGCTGTGGTGTGACGTTGGCAACTACACACAACTTGACATGAATGACAATGTATTACAATGTATTGGTCAACAGTGACTGCAATCAATGACAATATTGCAGTCAATTCAATCCAATTGTTGATTGGAACAATCCACATTCACTTGTCAGATTCAGAATGTAAATGAATGTTTTGTAACACATTTACCAATCCAACAATTGACTGATTAACAATAATTAAATATTAAAATGTTGAATAAAAGACTCGAGTCATTATATGAATGACGTAGTCAATTGCTGAGTTGAATTGACACTCGATTGAACAATACAAATAAACACATGACAAATGTTTAAACACTATTCAAAGTGTGTGAATTTGAATACATGACAAATTAATACAATTTGACAGTTTTAATTTCACAAAAATGCTTAATTTAACAGTTTTAATTTCACAAAATTGCTTAATTTAAACAATATTCAGTGTGAATTTGTTTCACATGACATTAAATTTTGGATTTAAAGTCGAATTTTTTCCTTTCTTTTCTTCATTACATTACATTCAATTTCATTCTTATTCTATTCCATTCAATTCCTTCAATTCTCTCCAGTAAACTCCAATGGAGAACAAAGCATTCTTCGTTCGGTACCTTACAAACCAATCTGTAAAGGTTGAAACTCACTATATCGGCGAACAAGACAGACAAAGACCACTGACTGACGTTGCTGACCTGGTCGCCGCTTACAAGCCAGGGTCACTTCTCGCTGACACGCCGACCGAGCTACTCACTCTCCATTATGCTGTTGATAGACCAGCCATTGCTGGGGATGTGCTCCTGACCTCAATTCAGGAGCCGGTTGGTTCCTACAACCAACCGCTTGTCATCAAGTCCAAAAATGGTACTGGACAAGGCATCTCTAGTGCAGTATCAGGAGCTCCAGTAGGTTCGAATACCGGAATGGTTTCAGGAACATTCGAAGAAACTGCAGATACCGAAACCACTGTGTCACTTTTAAAGTATCATCACATTGCCGATTCTTTAAAAGATGACAAATGTGTCGTGCAAATCGTAGATGTTCTCCTTTCAATCACAGCTGGAGAATTTTCCGAGTCAAGCTTCAAAAATTTACCATTTGTATTTCTCAAGGGCTCGTCTGGTTCAGGAAAGAGTCAGATGGGCTTTAATATCAAAGCCAATATTGGTGATCGGAGGAGAGTGCATTATCTCCTGTTCGATCCTCCCGGTTCGACATCACAAAGAATCTACCGCAACTTTGAAAACATTTCAAAGTTGTTCAGCAAATGTTATGTAGAAGATGAGCACATGTACACTTCTGAAACTTCATCTCCAAGCTGTGGTTCGCTGTTCAAAGAAAGTCTATATATGTATGGATTTATTTTTGAACTGCTATCCAACAAATTCAGTCACCCACAGTCAGTATTGGCCCAAAGACTGGCAAAGATGTCCAAGAGCTGATGACTTCCAAAGGAATCCATCAACACAGACCAGTGTTTATTCTGGACGAGTGTATTGCTATTTCAGACCAGTCCTTAAAAAAAGTGCGATTTGTGCGAAATTGCTTCCGCTCATTGGGTCTGGGACTCGTTATGATGGGAACAGATTCCAGAGCAGCCAAACTGCAACTCAGCATTGGAGGAAGCAGTCGAAGTGATGTTCCAATGCCGTGGTGTCATGTGTTTGGGGAATTTCCAGCAGTAAAACTAGAACTAACAGGATTGCCACAAACACTACCAAGATATCTCAAATCTATCATACTCAACTCAAGGCCACTTTTTGCGCAGTTTGTCGCAGAAGAAATCGCAAACAAGGTTTCAGATTTTGACGAATTGATGAAAGCAGCGTTTATTAAACTGAAATCAGTCAAAAAGATATTTGGAAATCTTTACGGACAACTTGGACAGGTTCGGCTGTTTCATAACGCTCACTGTCAACTGACCGATTTGGAAAGCCAATCGACCAATCTGAAAAACCAATCGACTCCATTGATTCACTCACACTTTGCCCAGCTAGATGGAAAAAAAAACTTTATATTGATGAATGATGGATGTATTCAAGACCATTCTGCTTCTTGGGAACCGTCTTCGGTGTTTCCAGAGCTAAAGAATGACATTTTGCTTTACCTGCTGTTGATGGGTGGAAAGGGATTTTCCGCCTGTTATACAGGGGATAACAAGCAGGTGCCATATGCATATTTTTTGATGGAAGCCAAGAGTAATCCGGATTATCGCAGCCATATTCTATACTTTTCGAATGCTGTGCAGGATAGCAATGATGGAATGTTTCTCAAGTCTTTGCTATGTTCGACGGTCTGTTTGGCCTCACATTCTAATGGCGTCAAGGGAATTGGTCTAAAACCGTTTCTGTTGAATTTGGTATACCAGCTTCAGATTGATAAACCTGATTCCGAAGACGTCTCTATACTCGATCTGAACAGGCTCGATGGTATAACATTTACTGTACCTTTTCTTTCACCGCCAAACCAAAAGTGGCCCGATTTTGTTCAAATACCTGGTTTGAACTTTAATTGGTTATCAAGAGCTCGAAACTCGGAAGGTATTGATTTGAAGACTTCCTGTGGACTTTTTGGAGAATCCAAAGATCACAAAGGTGTAATCAGCCTTGAAACAATGGTGAATATCATTGGTAGGATTCCTCAAGCAGCAGAGGTGGAACTAGTTTTTACACGAAAACTTCAAGATTCGTACTTTAATCCTCCAGCTCCATCGTTTGAAGTTCAATTCCAAAGAAGCCATGTTCTGAAAAAGGCTTACTACAAGATTGACGCTTCAAAGCCCAACACTTTGCTTGAACCAATCAAGGGTCTTCCGTGCGACCAGCCTGATATGGATGGAGTTGTTATTTTCTTTGAGATCAATGACAGGGTTATTATTTAATGAGCATTGATATTTCCTCCCAATAAATATATTTATTAATTTGTACAAATCTATAATAACTCGATCGAATTGAGCAAGTTGTTTTTGGATAAATATCAGTAATGATTACACAATCATTTAACAATCTATCCAGTTTCAAGGATATTGTTACAATTATGGGCAAGATATACAACAATCCAATCGTGTTCATTATGTCCATTGTGCTATCGAGTATGAATATTACACAGAGCTATCCATCATTCAAACTACAGACTATCCACTGTTGCACCTCGAGACTTTTGTTCATAATGACCTATTTTTGGTAGATTGCTGTTTTTGACAAGCTTGGACAAATCTAATAGTAATTATTGGCCAACAAAACTGGTATCATTTGGTGCCTTGTCTACACTGTTATAATTGACGGTTCTGGTGTTTCAAGTAGTGTATATTGAGAACATTGCATTATGGAACCATTGCAATGTACGACACAAAGTTGGATGATGTGCGCAATGACGTACATCATATCAGCTATAAATGGATCAATGCATACCTTTGTAATAAATAACCAGCTTTATTACTACACCTGCCGAGTCTCTAGTTTCATAATAGTCTTTGATTTCCAACATGAATACCGCTACATTCAAAATGCACAACACGCTTGCTATGGAACAAAAACAGCACTATTGTTCACGTTGCTACAAGTATATTGGGATCATCATTGTATCACACACTGCTGGTAGCTGTAAATCGGACGACAAAAACACAAACAGTGATGTTGAACATGATGAGTAAACCTAGTTGTATTGGTTGCTGTTGCACAAAAACAGCTGTTTTTAACAGTACATTTTGAATATCGTAATGTTGATCAATCACAAATATATGGGTTTTGATGGGTCCATTAGATCAATTCAGTGTATAGTAGTGATTAGTGCAATATGATCAATTCAAGCATGCCATGTCGTGTCGTGTCATTGTATTGGTAATGAATGATGTTATTGAATGGATGAGATTGAATGCAAGATAAATAAGTAAACCATCATGCAATACACGCTGGATTGTAGCATATCCTACTCGAGACTGTTGATGGTCCACTTTGAGCTGTAGCAATGTATCGGGTCTGGTTCAAGAGTTTATTGTTCAGCACCAGAATCTTGAGCAACTGCACCATGCTCAGATTGTGACAATCATTGAAATACAACATTGTAGAACGAACCGAATCAAACCACTGCATTACCAGTTGATCCGAGATGCATCATATGGTCAAGTTTTACCAGACTGAACAACATCCAAGTAGTGTTGCTTGAATCCAGTTTTGTAAAACTGATATTTCCAAACCATATTTGTCGCAACCCAAGTGTTTTTGATGTTCAATCTCAAGTCGAGTCTTGTGAATCGGACTGGATTGTTGTTGGTTTCCGGCATTCATGCTCTAAATCGGCAAGGTTTTCACTCGCCGAGTTGCCAATTCATAATGAACAATAGGTTCAGTCACTGTCAAGTTGAACACTAAACTTGCTATGTTGGCATCATGACCATTTGCTGCGTAACTTGTGATTAAAACATTCCATTCACTGAAATTGAACTAGAGTTGAACTAGAGTTGGACTAGAATCAACTACATATACATCATGTGGATCACCTGGATTAAAATCTGTCAACAGACTGGATCCAGTATTTGTAGTCACACTGAGTTAGTGTCGCATATACTGAACACTAACTACAGTGACAGACTATTACAGTAAACAACTAGTGTCGTTTTACTGGATCCAAGCAAGTTGTCGTTCAACAGGTAGAGTCTTGTATTGTATTTATGCTATCGAGTACGATCAAAAGCATGCTACTAGTATATCAATAGCACCATACAACACCAGTTCATTCGAATGATATTTGTTTGTTCATATAAACTATAAAACTGAATTTCAATTTGAATGGCTGTTGGAATTATCAGCTATAGATTTGCTACGTTTTGCGACACCGATTCCACAAAAATGACAACTCTGGATCAAACTCGGGTCAAACAACGCAAGAGTTTCTACAAGACTGCACAGATGTGATGACTTTAAATTAAACAATGAGTTATCATCAAGACTTGGCTATTACAGTGCTGACCAACTCTCACTTTGACTGACTGATCGAGGACCTCCTTTACAACCATACTGCTCATTTCTTGTTCAAAATACTGGAAATCATCATTTATTCATTACAATTACAGCAACTTGTAATCAACGTCGGATCAAATATCTCACAACTGGAGTCGCCATTGTCTGAATCGAACTTTAAAATATCCCATTCTAAACAAAAAAGTATGAGAGCAACTCGATCAAATACTTGAAAAGAACAAAGTCAACCCCCACTGATTCAACACTTGTATGTATGTTTGTTGGAATCAGGTCAAGCCTGTGCTGTAAACTAGTTGTTACATCAATCGTCAAAAACAATCCCAGAAAACAAATTCAATATTTCACACTATTTGTCGTTTGCTACAACATGCTTTGGTTCAGTTACATCAGGCAATGTGTCTCGGACTTTATTCGATTGCTCCACTCATCATTTGTCTGTTTTTACCCGAAACGTTCAGATACAAGTGGAAAAAGATTGGATGGTGATTTCTTAAAGGTTCATGGTCACTTTGAATGTTTTACGTCGCGGAAAGAGTTTATATTACTGAAGCAAGCAAGGATGATATGAGACTGGAAATGTCACAGTATTTGATTGGATGTAAAGCTGCAGCAGAGATTAGTCATTTGAACTCGGTGTATGGAATTGTTACAAACTATATGCAGTTGAATTTCTTGCATAGTCTTGATGAAAAGATTGGATTGGACGAGTGCGTTGTGGATATGGATACGACTGGACCTAGTACAGATTATCTTGTCGATATCACTGCCAAAATCTATACAATATTATCTGATGAATGACATGGAGTTGATAAATATATTGGGATACAGACAAACAAGTATCAAGGTTTTGACTAAACTGATATTGAAGGATGCTCTTGTTTTAATTTTGCCATTTCTATCTGAACGTTGCAACTGTGGTGAGGCATGGATAGTATTACAACTGTAATGTCTGAACAACTGACTGTCTGGACAATAGTAACTATTTCCAGTGATGCTGATTTGTAAACACTCGAATTATTCAACAACACTCTATCAATGCATTTGCAAGAGTCATTGGACGTATCCGTTGTTTGAAAGTTGATTCGCATACATTCAGAAGTGGAAGTTATGAAGCTTATTTCCACGCAGACACGATCAATGTATTACTTTTTGTTGGATAGGCTGTATCATCTGGCATCAATTCAGACACACTTGTCAGTCCTGTTCCGTATACAATGAGTCACATATGGACACATATGGACACCAATGCAACAATCAAGAATCAATTGTCATTTACAAGTCTGAATTGCCAACCAACAATCGTACTAATGGACCAACGGACCAATGCCAAAACACCTGCACATCAGACAGTTTATTGGACATGACTTGATTGTTCTTGACAACTGATTGATAATTGCTTGATGACTCGAGTAATCCAATCACACATTGCTGGCAATTAAATGGAACTATACAATGTGTCATGTATACATTGGATACCATCAGTTTATCAGTGACTATCTGGTGTTTGTTTATGCATGATTACTTGGACTACTATTTGCAATCAACACAATAACTGGTGTCAATGACTGATAACAATAAAACCAAACGATTGACTACATCAGATTATACACGTTCATTCTGGAATGCAACTTTGCATCGATATCGTAAATATCAACCAGAATACGAGCCAAACGAGTCAAGCGAGTGTCGCAAGCTTGCATTCATTTGAAAATACTCAACATCAGGCTAAAGTTGCATGTGAAATGGTCGTTTGTACAAGGTTAAACAACATCGACATTTACAATCAATGTGATGTTGGAACAGAGCTGCTATTTCCGAATTTAAAAGTCCAAATCATACACATTGTTATCAAGTCTAATCCACACCCTTCATGCCATGTCATGTCATGCTTGATAGTTTCATACACTGCTGCAAGAGTTGTATTGTGTGTATTTCGAGTATTTCCATCACTCCATCACACTGTATTGGCTCAAACAACTTGAACAGATTGTCATAATCTGACATGATTCCAAAATAATTGCAATCGGTTATATTTGACATGATCGGATCATTGTAAACCATTTGATTTCAGTAATTCAAGATTAAACAAGCCAATGTTACTTTTTCCAAATTTGAATCAGCATGTTGTTGTAATATCGTCAATACTGTGAGCAACTCTGAGCAGACACTTGGACATTCAGTATCAAGTGATATTGGATACTTTCAAATATGTATCCAGTGATAAATAAGCGGTGATGTGTTTGAAATCAATTTACCATTACAAACCATTGTGTTTGCCAATACACTTGATGGTATCAATGACCACTAATGGATTCAACTTGCATTCCAAATGAGCCATCATGTGGTAACCCAATTGTTTAGTATTGGTTGTTATTTGATAATGTCAAATTTTGTGTCCTGCCATGAGATTGATTTCATCTGAACATTTGACAATCGTGCAAGAAACATTGATTGAACTCGTACAGTTTCATATGCAAGTGCATCAATAGTATATCGACCAACGAGACCAGTTTTGTTGATTGATACTCGTTGATACTCACTGGTAACTTGATGAAAATGTGTCAAACCATGACTTTCATGACAACACTGTACAAACTGTACGAGTTTAAAAGATTATTGGTGAATATTGTCCAATTTGATTGTTGACTGCAATTATTTTGGTTGGTTCGAGTTTCATTCTTTTGTCAAAAAACATCAAATGAATATTGAAACAACAAAGACAGCAACAACACAACTGTTGAATGAATATTACCAAATCAGCACTCAAGCCATACCAACACAGAGAGTCAAGTCTGAATGGCAGGATGACAACAAACGAGGTTTCTTCTTGGGAATCATCCAAGAGGGAGAAACCTCACACATCACTCGACTGCACAACCTGCTGACTGCCAACCAATTTGCAGAGCAGCAGGAATTCTCAACCAAGATCCAGTTGGCAGACCCAGAACATCATTGTACATTCATTGATGACATGTTTGGGTATTACATACTGCCATTCCACAAAGACTACAACGATTCATCCAGCTGGCACACTCCAGTTTCATCAAACCCAACATCAAGAACCAACTCTGATGATCTGGACTATGTTGAAAAAGTGAGTGAGCTACAGCACAAGGACTTGAACAAGGTGGTTGAGAAGAGATACAGTCTGCTTGTTTTGCTGGAATAAGCTGTCCTTGCAAGGAGCACACATCATATCCCAAAAGAACATTGGAATGGCATACAACAAACCATCCATATTGTTACGAGCTGGTTTGACGCAGAAACATCAAATACAGAACGGACTGTTGTTGTGTATCAAGTGCCATGACCAGTTTGGTAAACTAAAGCAATATGTGGATGTAGTGGATGACAAACTGGTGATCAAAGTGATCAATGATCCAACAAGTGACAAGCACAAGAAGTGGATTGAGACAATTGAAGATTTGAAAGCTATCCGCAGAACAAGGCAAAAAAGATGGACTGACAATCGACAAACAGTCGAATCCAACAGTGAAATGACATTGTATTTCATTCACAACAATCCAACTCGACTACCAAACAGGAATGCACTAGAGTTCCACAAGACAACATATCTCATTTGGTGTATGGCTGGTGGTGTAGAATCTGATGATGAGTATTGTCCATATGATGATAATGGCTGTACTCCTGTAGATTACCAGAGTAAGAATATCGAAAAATGGATGGAATCGAGTGCTATTTTGATCATTGAAATACTCAATAAAACTGTGTATTCATTACAAGAGACTGGTTTCTGTTACAGTAATAGTTGTGTCGAGTCAATGTCATGGTGTAATGGCTTCAAAAAACACCATTTTGATGATCGATACTGCATCAATATGATCGTTTTACAACCGATATATTGAAACTTGTTGATATCGGAACCAGTATTGATATTGGTAGTGGATGATGTATAATCAAAAAGAAATCCACATCGGAACGTTCCTTGCTCTCGTTTGTGATTGTTTTCCGTGGATTGTTCTGGTATTTTATGTAGCTCACTTTTTGCCTCGCACGCATGTAAGCAGCAACCACGAATCGTTGAAACACAGATTGCACAAGTCGATACATTCTGATGACATTTGGAATATAACAAGACACAAGTGGTGACCAAAGTTTAATTCACAATCCATGAATGAACACGATCGCGTTGCCGACTGGATCAAATAACAACGCAGGTGTTTGGAACATGTCTTGAATACATGAATCGACCAGATTGACAACATACTCGTGTAGTCGATAATCAATGGAATTGACCAAACGGAATGCCTGCAACTGCCAAAAAACCAAACAAAATGCCAAAGCATTTATATTAAAATGTTACACTACGACATCATGTCTCAAAGTGCTGAATGAGTCGTTGTCATGCAACTTTACTGTTGATATTGTTTATGTGTTTGAAGATGTGCAATACAATCCGTAGTGTGTTGCTCAATGACACTGATCAAATGGTACTGAATACAGTGTGTCAAACAAGATGATCGCTTTGATTAGTGTGTCAGAATGTTTTGATAAATAACAATTATATCATGATGTATATTGGTTCATGTAGTGTATTGTATAGTCAACTATGCACATACACATGCATGTCATTGTCAATTGATGGTCGTTTGTGAACAACTTGTGGACAACTTG